CCCCCCCCCCCCCCCCCCGGCAGGCCCATCGCTGTCTCTCCTACAGAGTTCTGTGCCTGGGGTTTCACAACAGTCCGCTTGCGCGTGTTTGTCGACATGACATTGCTGTCGTGTTTCCGATCTCCCCCGGTTCAATGTTGCACTGCACTGCACTGCACCGCACCGTGCTGCGCGGCACTGCGCTACTGCACTTGGCTGTCACTGGAAGGGAGGGATGTGTGTTTGTGAGTGATAACAAAGTCGAGAGTTGAGACGACCTTGACTGAGTCCGTGACAGCTTTGGCCAGAGACGGCTTCTGGCTGCCAGCGAGGCTAGGCAGACCCCCAAGGAAGCTTGGAGCTCCGAGAAAGTCACGGGTGCGCCACGCCAGCCAGCCAGCCAGCCAGTATGGTTTTATTCTTCGGTGGTAGTCTTTCTTCCCTTTTTGCCATACCCTTATTCGATCCCAACCCGGGGCATTCAAATGCCGAGATAAATTAATAATTATCTATCCGTTGATTTTCCCAAAGAGGAAACCTTTCACCCAAATGCGGCTCTGCTAACAAACAAGGCTTTGCCATCCATTCTTGTCAAGTTTTACGTGAGAACATATGGGGGTCCCTCCCACGATTGCATTCGGGAGTCGGGAAGTTCTTCTCAGACAGGACGCGAGTTTGGTTATCCTGATACAGGTCATCATCCGACGTCGGAGTCTCGATGTGAGCGCTTTCCATTTCCGTTTTCATTTCCATCTGGGGAGCAGGTCCTGAGCAGGGCCTGAGGCTCGCCGGTTCAACCGTGCCTGAGCCGGTCCAGGACGCGACTGATTACGCCGTCAACTTCAACTTGAGCAACACAGCCATGAGGTATTACAGTTGAGAGTTGCTAGGCCTCATTGATGGGACGACAGGGCCACAAAAATACTTCCAAGGGCCTTGAGATCTACCTGGAATCTATGTGCCCTACATTCAGTGGCATCTAGATCAATTTGAAGTCTGTCAATGTCCTGTCCCCTCGATCGAGTTCTCGGATCGCTTGCCCTTCCATGTAGCCATCCAAGTACGCCGTCCCGCGCAGGACCACTCCGTTCTCTCTCCACGCACGCATCGGTGGAGGATACATCTCATAATCCCGTGGCCGTCGATGCCGCCTGTGGTTGCGTTTGCGGAGCTTTCTCGGTTTGAGCTTGGGTTTCCCAAGCACACACAAGAAGCTGCAGCCGAGCAGGACGGCGACGGTGTCCCCCCGGCGACCACGATTGGTCAGCCCCAACAGACCTTTCCGCGTAATGAAGGGTTTGGCAGTCGACAAAGTGTGTCTGATGGCCTCAAGGAGAGGTTGCACGTATGCTCGTGATCGCACTTCTCCCGCCGAGGCGCCTCCTCGGGTCAGAGCTGCTGGAGGTTCCGCCGGTCCCGTTATCGACTGGTCGGCGTGTCGCTCTTGGAAATCGACGTCGAATCCTTCCGGCATGTGCGCGGGGCCGTACACGAGGACATCGAACATTCGCCTCCATTCAGGCGGTAGCAGAGTTCCATCGAGTGTACGATTTCCGACGAGAGTTCGATAGAGCGACGACACTCTCTCTTCTCGAGTCACGTTGCGGGCAGGAACTTCCGGACTGGACGTCGAGGAGCGGAGCGCAAAATCGAGGAACTGTTGGATTTTCACCGACAGCTCAATCAGATGCCGTTCTCCCAACCAGTCGGACGACTCCCGAGGGGGCGGTCGAAAGGACGCGTCCGTGGGGGTAAACCTTAGGCTCTTGAACGAAGTCCAGTGTTTGACATCGTGCGGTGTCGAGTCCCATCTTTCGGCCCATTCCGGTGCAAAAATGCCACAACATACCCAGGCTAGGCAGCTGAACATGGCGATATATATGGCCGCCCCCAGAACTAAGACCGTACCGCGTACGATTGCAACGATGCTTGAAACCGCGAGGGCGATGATGTTGGATCGATTGAGAATGGGAATGCGACGAAGGAGTGGGAACGTGTCGACAGTTGCGAGGTCGGTCAGGTCTTCTAGGAGAGCTGCGATCTCGTCGACGGCAACGCCTTGGATTTTCAGGTGGCTGTAACCAACACCCAAGGCCTCAGGGAGAGAACAGGTGCGGACCTCTGGCCACGTGTTTCCGGCAGCGGCGAATTTGACGGCGTGCGCTCCTGGCCTCAAGCCCATACCCATTTGCATGAAGAACGTGTCGTTAGCTCTCGCAGCGTCTCGCGAGAGTCGAGGCAGACAGCGCAGGGGAAAGCACAGAAAGTCCAAGCTCTTTACGGTCTGCAGCATAAACTCGACAAACGACATTTCGGTTTTGCAGACTGATAAGGCGTAATCGACCGTCAATGAGTCAATCTGCGCGTCCGCCGCGATGCCGACCAGTGCCCAGATCTTGTCTCGCGGGTCGGTTGCCTCGGATGTCGAGTGCAGGCACATGAGCTCAAAGAGTGACTTCTGTCCCTGTCGCAGACTCCTTGCGAGGCGGCTGGTCTCGATATAGGTCGGACCCGCAGACTTCTTGGAGAACTGTAATGCAGGTACCGCCTGTGATCGAATGACTGCCGGTGCCCAAACGGCAGTCAGGGTCAGGATAGGGAGCAGGAAAGCCTTGAGATCTTCATACCAGGGAGTTTCGGGCTGTGCCTCCCGCACCAGCCAGTCACTCAGATCGGGCTTGTAAAGCTTCTGGTTCAACCAAAAACTGTCTGCGGCCAAAAGAATTTGCCATTGCAGGCTGCAGTGACCACAGAGGACTTGGATGGACGAAGCACAGACGAGCTCTTGCACTATCCATATCCGCTCCCAGTAGGATTTGTTCAGAAGGCCCTGGATGGCCTCCCACGTCGGCTTGCGGGTTTCGAGGCCGATGGTACGTTTCATCCACTCCACAAGGTCAGGCTGCTGCGCTGCCTCGTCAAAAAATAACGTGGCTTCAAGATCTGTGGATGAGAGAGGTCCCAGCCATGTTAGTACGTGGTCGCAGGTCGCATAGATATCTCTCATTATGGCGACCTGATGACCACGCTCGCTCGAATCGCGCTGGTTAATGCAAACAGCGTCGATCCAGAGGAGACGCTCATTCTCGGACTGCTGAAGGGTTGCGAGAGCTGCCGCGAGGTTCGGGCCAATTTCGAATGGCGTATCATCAATTAAAATCGTCGAGGAAGGTGTTTGAGGTCCCCATTCGTAAGACAGCGCCTCGAACTCAGGGCACTGCTGATCCAAACAGGCGTGGACGATGTTGCCTCGAATCTTTGGCGAGAGTTGCTCAGTACCTGAGTCTGAGTCTTCCTGAACAATCGTTTGGGAAGGTAGAAGCTTGAAGAGACGGATCTGCTTTGATCTTGGCTGCAAAGGTCGATATGGGTAATCATTCTCCAGCTGAACTGCAAGCCCAGGAGATGTACTTGGTCTGCTGCCATGATGGGTCAACAATTTGAAGGGCTTGAAAACCATGACTGGAAGCAACAACGAACAAAAGTACCTTGAGGGATTTTGAAGACGGCGCCTATTTGCCCATTTACTTCTGAACGACACGCAGAGGCTCAAACTCGTGATGATGATGACGAAACCCACGCCGAGGAGGAACCAAGTACGGGGATCGGAGAATATATGATCTGACCAAGAGGTGCACGGCGACGTGGCATTCGACGACGAGCAGTCGGTCTGCCGAATGGACATGGCAGTCTTGTACACGGACTGTTTTGTCAGGAATTATGGACGAGGCTGTCTTCACAAGTTTACCTTTCTGCCACCGAACACACAAAACGCCACATAGAGACGGACCGTTGGTGCCTGATGCCTCATGTCGGGATATAATGTTGGTCGCCGCCCCGACCGTGGCGGTTATCTCTACCTCGCCGGCGGTACGAGAACGAGCAAGATTGGCTGGTATGCATGTTTCGTTGGATCAGGCCGAAGACAGCTGAAGGCAGCCAAAGTCAGCCTCGTTTGAGGCTCTGCGAAGTTCGTGCGCCCGGGGTCTTTCGTTTAGTTGCCTTCTCTCGCTCGACTGCAGTTAATATTGGTTTCAGAATCAGGCGTTGCTGTTTCAACCCCTGAGACGTCCCGACTCCTGACCTAGCCGCACACGTGACTGAGCTTCATGTCATTAACCTCAGTGGATTTTCATCATCGCATCTCCCTGGAATATAATCTGCATTGTTGCTTCCTAGTTGCCGTTGAGCAAGAAGACCAACTGGTCTTTGCGAAAAAAGAAGCTGCATATGTATGTCGCCTACATAGATCTTCAGTTTGAAACCTCAAGCAAAGTTCATAAAATGTTCCTAACGCGACTGGTGAGTGCATTTACTGCTGGACGGCGGAAGGACTTGTACATGCTGTTAGATGCACCTCCAACGTAGAATTCCAGCTCCAGAATTCAATTTGGACTATGCCTTGGGTCGCAACGGTTACAATGTACTGAGTGTGAGTGGTGGATCTCGTGTCTGACCCCATATTGCTTAGGCCGCTTGGGATGTTTGCCGTGTTTGTCAAGTCTACCCCGAGTCGCGAAATGACAACAAAGTGTCCTGAACAGGGTGAGGACAACGGATGCCTTCAGCTTTTGTTCTTCTACTTCCTAGATCTCACCAGAGGGGTTATGATTGAGCAGACAAGGAACTTGAGATGGTCAAATCAACGCAAATTGCCAGGCTGGATGGTTCGTGGATTCTGAAGCTTTCTTTCAATGTCTTGGGGGAAAACTGGCTGACTCGCCCGCTTTCTGTACAGGCCTCATGCTCGCGGCCTCGGTCGACGACGAACAGGTACGCGTGGTTCTCTACCGTTCACAGTTACCATTGGCATTGTTTGCTTACCACGGGGAACGCAGGTCGAGACAGAGCTCGCCGAGGTCAAGTCACAGGCAAAAATGATATTCCGACGCCTCAACCGCAACTCGGAACAACAAGCAAGCATAGAATCGGGCCAATATACGTTGCAGTAAGCCAGCGTACACTCGTCTCGCATCCGAGAAGCTTGCTCACCCTGCGCGAACCCAGCTACCTCATCAAAGACTCGGTCTGCTTCCTCTGCATCTGCGACCGATCCTACCCCCGCAAGCTCGCATTCACCTACCTCTCCGACCTGGCGCAGGAGTTCACCACCATCTACCCGTCCCAGCAATACCTCTCGGCGACGCTGCGGCCGTATGCCTTTGTCGAGTTCGACACGTTTATCCAGAGAACCAAAAAGACGTACCAGGACAGCCGGGCCAGCGCGAACCTGGACAAGTTGAACGACGAGCTCAAGGACGTGACAAAGGTCATGACCAAGAACATTGAGGATCTGCTATACCGGGGCGACAGTCTGGAGAGGATGGGTGAGATGTCCGGGCGGCTGAGAGAAGACAGCAAGAAATACAGGAAAGCCGCCGTGAGGATTAATTGGGAGTTGATGTTGAAGCAGGTAAGTGAGAAAGGTCTGCTCTTGAAGGAATTGGGCGTCCTGACGTGCACAAATAGTATGGGCCTTTTGCTGGTCTCGGCCTGATCATCCTCATTTTCATCATCTGGAGATTTTGGTGACGAGCTTCCCTGTTGATATCTGGGTGATTTATATGGATAAAGCGAGCATCTGATATCCACTGCGTGATCTGGGCGCGGAAGACTCTACGCCAGCGCGATTTTGGACCTGTCTGCTCCAATGCAGCTGGCATGTCGGCTCAGATTTCATCTTCTTCCTCGTCAAAGTCATCCTCAACGCCCATGTCGTACAAGATTCGTCCACCTTCGCCCGCTCCGCCGCCTGCTTTCTGAGCATCAAAGTACGGCAATACCACCCCTTCCCGCTCCAGGCGTTGACGTTCGGTCAGCCCCAGCTCGAAAGTCATGCCCGAAAGCTCCTCAACCGTCTCTTCCTCGTCCGATCCACGGAACAGCGGGTGATCATCCAGGAGAGTGACGATCTCCCGAAATGGCTGGCCATCGCCCTTTTTCGTCATGTTTTGGGACATAGGCAAGAAGAACCACTCTCTAACTCCGCGGCCACTTCTCCTACGGTGCTCCAACTCCAAGACAACTCCGCGCTCCTCTTGCTTCAATTTGGTCACAGACTTGGACTTTAGGCCTATGACCACGCCCTCGATCTCTTCCGAGAGGCCAAAAGCCGGTGCGGCCAGGGATTTTGAGCGGGCAGACTTTTCGGCCAGGAGGATTGGGAGCGAATGGATTGTTATGACGGTGGTGGCGAGGTACGAGAGGAGCGAGAGCGGTGAAGGCGAATACGAATTTGACAGCGATGCCGATGACGGGAGTGTCGAGGGTGGTGGGGACGGCAAGGGCACGTCGGTGTGATAGACGGCAACTAATGAGACTTGCGGGCCCTCGCCTTGCTCGGCACCTTTTGTCTGGAGTGCCGGTGGCTGGAGCAAGGCGGAGAGGAATGCGGTCAGGTTGAGATTGGACGTCGGCTGGATGGACAGAGCGGCCAGTGTCGACAAGGAATCAATCATGATCAAGAACCCTGCGTGTATAATTTTGGCGTTAGTGTGATTGCCACGATATAATGGCTGGGTATTGAAGCGACAGTAGCCAACAATATCAAAATGGAGATGAACACCGCGTTAGCAGAGGTATGAGCGGGAGGAGACGTACTTTTTCCGCCACTCCGCCGCAGAATCTCGCCCACTTCCCTCGCGATCTTCTCTCCCACACCTACTCCCGCCCCTGCCCCAGAGGCTCGACCAGGACTCGGACTTTGCCCCACGTCGTGACAATACCCATGACACGGGACGAAATAGTCCGCTCCGACGGGCTTAGCGAACGTCTCAAAGCCCAGAACCACGACGACGACGCCACCACCACCACCACCGTGTGGCATCCCCGCGTGCCTCGACAGCCTCGCACGCCGGAGATACTCCCTTGTCAGCGGACGGGCGGGCTGTTCGAGCGAGTCGAGGAGCAGGGTGAAGGGCGAGGTCTGCGCGTGGTGGGGGTGCTGAGACAGGAGTTTGGAGATGAGGAGGAGGTTGTGCGTGCGGCGGTGGTGGGTGTGCGTGTGAGACATTGTGTACGAAAACGTCCGTACACTTCTCCCTCACTGCGCCTATCTCTCCTTTGTCTCGTCTCTGGTTCTTGTCCCTCTGCCTATTGAGGAAATCAATGGGGAGTGGCGCTGAACGAGTAAGGGTGGTCCTTATCCTTGAGAAGGCGTGAGAAGAGAGGAAGATTGACCAGGGTGATATCAAAGACCCAGTTCTCGGTAAAGGCGGACTCGTAGTATGGATAGTGCCAGGGGCAAAAGACAGGGAGAGAAAAGGGCTCGATGAAGGAACCCGAGTGGAGGGGGGAGGTTCAGCCTCGTGAAGAAAGGTGATCCTACTGGTATTGCTCTCTGTCTCTGTCCCTGCCTGTCACCGGTGTGCTGTACTCGGTACCGCTTTCTTGTTTTTCTTTTTTCCCTTTGTCTTCCATCAATGTTCTCCAGACGTAATGTAATGCACTGGTCTGCCTCCGGGTGCTATGAAACCAAGAAGGGGATAATGAATATCAGTGACGCCCCAAATTTTCCGGTACGAGGCTATCAAGAGCCCCATTTTTGCTTATGTAATTCCTTGGCATGGACTCTGGTGGGTGTCTGGAACACACAAGCTCCAGGGGCTGTTCAGCCTTGCCTTGTCTTGTCTTGTCGGCCCCGAACTCCAATAATCCAGATTTACGAGGCATAATGGCATGTCTCACGCCATGGAGCCTTCGATAGCGTGCTGTCGTCCCGTGGAAGAGCTGGTTTTGATGCTCGATCGATCTTGTTACTCCTCGACACGACAATGCTGGCAGACGAGTGCTCAGGGCATGTCCTCAGCAATCGCGACACCTCAAGTAGGTCTGAGTTACATCGTGAGTCCTTGTTTCATTTACACGCTGGTCACATACATCTGTTACCCTCCCATCCACCTTTGTCTTGTCCGAGGATTGCCAAAGAACAACGCTTATAACCAGTGCAGAGACCACCTGTAACCACCCCCGACCTCACGCCAAAAACCATCCAATGCACCCGCGCTGCTCTCGACCGCCATTGACCCAGCCCGCTTCAACCAGTTGGAATTTACCCCTTTCGACGTTTTGCTTCATTCTTTCGACACATCTGACTCCGTTCGCTACACAATTTCTAGCCTGCTCAATAGGCATCTCTTCCAACCGTGATTCCCATGCATAAATATCCTCGCAGAGGCAGAAAGTGTTCAAAACTTGACGCCCGCTGTTGTCCGCTTTGAAGAAACGATTGACCGCCACTGGATCAAGGAGGCATTCGTGCAACATACCCAAGTATAACCACGACTAGATGAGTGATGAGTACATGGAAAAGTCCTCGCGTTTATTGAAATGTAGAGGTTTGATTGGCGCCAATAGATGAGCCCATTTGTGTGTGGTATTGGGATGCCGTCGGACCTTGAGAAAGCAACACGTCCACATTTTTCCACCCATTAACCTTTGTGTTATACATTTGGCAGAGAAAATCGACGCTGGGGAAAGTCCTAGAACCTCTAACTGTCATAGGGAACGGCATGTGTGAGGTTTCTAGTATCAATAATATCGCAGAGAGTGACGTCCTCGAAGACCGATGGTAGGTGCTCCATCATTTGTAGAGTTTCGATAGCAAACTCATCGTCGAGTTTAGTCTGCATGTTTCCTAATCTTGCGAAGTTCTCTGACAAGCTTGAACGTGCTTTCAATGTCCAGACACAGCAATGGTGTCGAAGCGGCCTGCTGAAGCCCTTATTGTTACATGTGTCGTGAATAGGCGCAGATCGCTGCTTGTGACTGACTTCAAGTGATGGTCGAGAGGAAGATGAACTGCCAGTCGGCCCAGTAGAACTTGGAGGAGCAATTGTTGCTGTTTTAACCAGTTAACGAACGGCCGAGTCCTTCGAGTCCCCGGGACCATCGTCTGAATAAGAACCGACGGTCTGCAGCTAACTCAAGCGCTGTGGCCTGGCTTCGGGGTTTGGTCCAGGTCAGAAAAGGAGACTTCATCCTGAACAAGCGTGTCATTGACGGCGAGGACATGTCTGCGATACAATTCTACCAGGCGTGCCGAACCAGTTTCGAGACCCGAATCCTGAATCCCGAACAGAGACAACTCCTGCTGCGTGGCGCCTGGGCTGATTGAGGTGTTGCCGTAACTAAAGTACTCGGCGCTTCCATTCTGACTCGTCATCAAGCGGCTCCCGTTGAATCTTTGAGCCTCTTCCGAATATGGCGCATTGAAGGACTCTAAGCCAGTTGGTAATACCGAACGACCACGAATCTCAATCGTCTGACCCCTCGCCAAAGCCGCGGAAATGGAAAGAGTGTCAGCTCCCTTATCTTGCGCGACAGTGCTGTTCACGAAGAGGGGATAATCAAAGGTGCGTGAATACCCTTCTGAAGAAACGGCTCTGCCAAATGTGTTCTGTGTGGTCACCTGGACATTGCCAAAATCCGAGATTTCACCCTCATTTGAATATCTCAGATATTGCTGCCAAGTGGCAACTTTGGAACCCCGGGATGTCTGTACTTTCGACGAGATATAGAGCTGGCGATCTACATTGACGGTATAGGAAAGGGTGCAATTGGTTCCATCCGAAGCGGTACCGACTGTAGATGACAGAGACATAGAGAATCCGGATGCATCAGCCAGAGTGTGGCTCCCAGACGTTGCATGCCCTGCGGAATCTAGCCAGACAAATATCTTTCCTGTAAGAACCTGGTGAAATATAAGCGGAGTGTGTCATGATGATAGAGCTGGGCTTACCCAATAGCTGCCAACCTCCTCAGATAGAAATCCACTGCCATTGCCGTCGTCATCCAATCCAACGACTCGAATCTCTATGTCATGACTTTTGCCATTGCAGAGCAGCGGCAGCCAAGGTGTGATATCAATTTCATCTTCGCGGATGTCAAACGCATCGATCCCCACGACAGGCCTCCAGAAGCCACGGACGATGCCGCCGGTGAAGATGATGGGAAAAGGCCACACAACCCCAGCCAAGGTTCCATCAATTAGCAACTGTACCTCACGGAAGGGGGAGTAGCCTAGAAGGGAGTCGACTCCAAAAGTATCGACGTTGGAAGAGAGCACATTGGAATACCAGAACTCTATGCCGATGGTCAGCAGAGCCCTACTCTTGCCCAGGAACCGGCCCACCTTCTTCCATCTGACCAGTTGCAGAGACGGTCACAACAGCCCGCTCTATGTTCTGCGGCAGTACCATAGAAGTCGACACTCTACGTTGACGGCGACTCCAGGGACTGGACGTGTTGCTGGAGCTTCCATCGGCTAATATTGGAATGATCAGATCCGCCCGCTTCTCTGCGTCAGCAGAGGTGAAGAAGGTCGCCTGCAGAGTGACGTTGAATGGGGAGGTATAATTTTCGTTGATCAGATTACCGAGGTCAAATATCAGTGTTTGGGGCTGCGTGAACAGTGCCTGAAGATGGGACACATCTTTGACATAAGTCCATCTGGCAGAGGTCAGATGATTGTATCTTAGGCCCAGCAAAGAGCTTACATGATCCCGCCAGGAGTTGGTTCCGCTGTGCTTGTCCGCCAGATCTCAACGTCACCGAGGTAGGCAATCGCTAGTCGGTCAAACTGCTTGCCAGCGGCGGTAACGGTGAGGTTGAGTGTCACTCGGTTGAAATCACAATGAGGGGGTGTGTAGAGGCCCACGAACGGGTGCCCATAGCTGTTTCCGAAGGAATGAATCATGAGAGTCTTGGTTACAACACATCCTGGGGGATCAGAAACAAGAGGTGTAGCCGATCTGCCATCATCTTGAATCAATGCCCTTTGCGCGACAGTATCCGGTGTCAAGACGGGTGGATGGACTTGGAAAACCCGCAGCATTGAAGCCGCCAGGGCAACAATTGACTGCGCAGACGACCTCATTCTGAATGAGCTGACAGTCTGCGATCTTATGCACTGGTGACGTTGATATCAGTGCCAGCCAGCGGCCCAGATATTCTAGATCGTAAGAGGTGTAGTTGGCGAACTGGCTGGAGGTATCAGTACCTTGACTGCGGCTCGTTCCAGAAGGGTGGCTCACCGTAAACTGTCACTCTCTCGACCTGCCACACTGTAGACTCACGAACTGTTGAGGTCTTGTACAGCCCTTTGATCTGGCTTGTCAGTTGTCCGTAACATCATGGCGAGGTGGAGGGGGGGACCAGAAGTCGAGAGAGAAGGCGAGGGATTGACGGTGAAATGTTTGAATTGATTTCAAATTCTAAAATTCTAGAACCCTCGGGTGCCGGACACACAACCAAGCTACTCAAGAGCTGCGTTCAATGTGCGAGTTCCCGTTGCAGATTCCTAATGAGAAATGCACTTCAACCTTCTACGGTATCTAGTATCGTGAGTTCGCCTTCTACGTGTCACAATACCAGCATCTCTCGACAAACTGGAGGATGGCTGCAGTGCCGCTCCAGAGCTTCAACGAAGGTCCCTAGATTTGTCCCACTGCATCCAATTCTAGAGAGGAGATCGGAACTCAAAAAGTCTATCATAGCATAATCTTGTCCGATTCCATCTGTGCATTCATACAGGCAGTTGGGAAAGGATAGAGCTGTACCGAGTACTGAGTAAACGAAGTTGTCGATAAAGTGCTGTCCAATGGTCTAATGCTGCACCGGAAATTTCTGCGCCTTACCAGCCACGCACACACCAACACAACCTCTTGCTATGCCATGTGCCATCGTCACTCAGTCCTGACACAAATGGACTGCGCGAATGGCGCCGATTCCTGCTCTGGAGCATATCTCCAATCCTTTGATCACTCCAGCGCAGCTGCTCAAGTTCAAAAATGCCGAAGACGATGAGAGCTCAACCTCATGGTTTGCCCAGTTTCAACTGACATCCGCTGCTGGTATCCTCCTCCGCCTGACGCAGGAAGTCATCGCACATGGCACGGTGCTGCTACAGCGGTTCCTAGTCTCTTCCACCCCGAATGACCGTCGCAGTTTCAGTTCCAGAGACTACTCTGCTGCTGCCATCTACCTCGCTGCAAAAATATCTGCCACGCCGGTCTCACCTCGATCAGTCATTAACGTTTACGCATACCTGACGTCCGAAGCCTCTCCACTGCGATTTATCAATCCGGCTGGATCCCCCACGGATGTTGAACCTCGGAGTTATTTTGTGTCCGAAGGGACGTATGAAAGAGAGAGACAGCGGTTGTTTGTGTGCGAGAGCATGATACTGGTTGGCCTGGGGTTTGACACACGAGTCGCGTTGCCTTACAGTCTGGCCTTTACGTATATGCAGGCCTTGGGAGTGTCCACCACCGAGCTATCCCAAAGAGTCTTGGAGCATCTGAACGCAGGCCTCCTCTCTCCTCAGCTTCTTTACCTCACTCATCAACCCAATGCGCTCGCCGTGGGGGCAATCTATCTGGCAGCACGGGAGATCGGGGTCAAACTCGTGGAGCAGAATTGGTGGGAAGTGTTTGACGTCGACAGAGAGGACCTGGGCTTCCTGGTTTTGTCTTATGGAAGCATGGCCAATTTCGCCCAAGCCGAGATGGAGAAGTGGAAGAGCGAGCCCGTTCGACTGGACTGAGCTCATATTGGCCGTTTCACCCTGGGCCTCATACCAGCACTCTCAGCGACAGTATCCATCGGGCACGTAACGGAACGAGTTTTCCAATGGTACATCCTAGCCAGGGTTGCGCTGTTGGACTATTCCCTCACCATCAGTGACACTCGGCCTCATGTTCTTTCCAACTTGATACCAACAACAGACCATCCTCATCAATCTCTCACCGAGACCATAATTCGGTGTTGGAAATCACCACCAGTTCACCCTCTTGCCTGTACGTGCACCTAGTCGAAGGTTCCTTCGCCAACGTCCTTGAACACCATGGCCACGTCCTCTAGTCTCTCCTGCTGCGTACGCTTCTTCGTGCACTTCCTCCACCACACCGGGGCGGCTCGGCAGAACTTTTGTAGTTCCATTATGAGAGGCTCCTGCAATTGCTTCGCGCAGTACAAACGAATTTGGCGATCATATTCGTCGTGCAGTTCCTCGAGGGTTTCAAACTTCTTTTCGAGAAGTCCATCGACGATCTCAGAACCAGCCTTGATTACCTCTTTCGCTTCCTGCCGCTCGTGTCTGCGGAAGGACTGCATGTGGCGCTGAACGAGCCTCTCTCCGTATCTGCGAATGAGGGCCGAGGCATGGTGCTCAGGCAGACAGTCGACCTTGGGTGACTGTTTGTTCCCTTTGCCCTTGGTAATTTTGTTCTTTGTTAACTCCTTCACTTGCTTTGTCAGGGCGCTCGACTTCTTTGCCGGCACGAAGTCGTCGTCCTCACTTCCGGGACTGCGTACTCTTTTGCGCGGCGAGCTCGTTGGAAGGCCGAATCTGTATCCTTGCGAGTGGCGGGCCGGTGTCGATTGGGGGCTGCCTCGGGAGATTGACCGATCTGTCACTGGAGTTGCGTAGGATGACACCGGTGGCTTTGAGCAGGGAAGCTTGCTGAAATCTGTCAACTGGCTACTTGGGTGCGGTGCGTTTGGTGAGCGATTGGGTGTGGTCATCAGCTGACTTGACTGATCAGTGGCCTGACCCTGCTCAACCAGATGCGGCGGATTCATGGCTTCTCGCTTCACAATTCGGTCACTGGTGGCAGGGACATTTGTCGATTCTCCTGCTAGACCTTCCACTCCGTTGGCGTCCTCGACTGGCTCTGCTTTCACTTTCGCCTGACTGCCATCCACAGGGGTTTCGACCCGGCCGTACAATCTAGCCAGCCTCAGACGGAGTTCTAGCTTCTTGCGATCCAGATCCAACTGGCGCTGCTCGATCTCCAGCTCCTCCAGCTCGGCGTTGATGAGATCTTCGTTGTCCATCGCTCGGAAAGCCTGTGGTAGGTGACTGGACTGACTAGGGACTAGAACTGGGTGAGGACGAACGAGGTATTGCCAGAGTCGAATGCCACGCCTCACCTCGAGAAAGACTCGTGAGTTGAATGTGAGAGTGAAAAGGTCGCAATAAAATAGGGACGAAAGGCACATTTTATTGAGAGGAGGGACAAGCAACATCAACGCCAAGGACTTGAAAAGATGATCCCTTGATATCGCACGCTGTCTGGTCTCTGTCAACAAGGCTCATTCCCCGTCACTCGCAGTCAAATGATTGAGCACATGACACTCAAGGGACTTGTTGTTATCAGGTATCTCTCATCTCATCCTGAGATCCCCCTTTTGAACACATGAGAGAAAGGGTCAAAGAAGCTTGGAACCTCTCCATGTCATTCTCCCTGGTCCGTATCACTGTAAGACGGACACAGGATCCGCGCCGTTCCATCCTCCCAGCTGCACAGTTGTAAACACACTCCCAGAAACTCCCGTCAATAGAGCGCCGTAATGAACGTCCTCGTCAGAAATCTTCTCAAACCAAACTGTAACCATCTCCCAGAGTCAGCTCTGAATCCAGATTGCAATGCCTTCCTCCCTCCCTCTCCGTCTCCTGACTTGGTTGGACTGACCGCTCGGGCCGAGTAAACCGTGTGTTGGTTCGATCTGCACCATGTTCCACGCATGTTCTCTCAAGCCTTTTTTCCCGCCCCGTGTTCCGCCTTACACTCCTCCAGGCTGAAATTATCCTCCGCGACGTCCGGGAACACCTTTGTGACGAACGAGATCCTCTCCTGCTGGGTGTTGAGCGCTTCGCACAACGGCCACCACGACTCCCGAGCCCATTCAAACTTGTCGAGTTCCACCACGAGCGCACAACGCAGTCGGGAATCCTTGGCGTGCTTGTTCACAACCGCTGTAAAGTCCTCGTGGAGAAGGGCGATGCTGTGGTGTGTAGTCCCGAAAGTGACTCTCCGCAGCTTGGAGGCCACGGTCGGTTTCTGGAAACACGCGTAGGCAAGTGTGGACTCGATCGATGTCATGTGCTTGAGCAGAAGACCCGTGTAGTGTTGGACGAGGTCGTACCGTTGAGACTCTGTCATGGGTCCTGGGACGTCGGCGACTTGCTTTTCGTCCCTCGCGGACACTCGTCGTCGTTTCACCCTGGCACCATACCCGCCTGTGGAGTCACTTGTGTCGACGTCAGAGTCAGAGTCTAAAGTAAGGACAAAGGTATCTGAGGGCGTGTTTTGCTTTTGCTTTGCTGGAAAGCTCGAGGGTTCGGTCGGTGGACGGCCTGTAGAGGCTGCTAAGAGCGTTTCGTGACGTTCTTGAGACTTTCCCTGGCCGGCCGTTTGCTCTTCTGGCTCGCAAGTGAAGAAGCGATTCCTCATCTTCTCACCGATTGATCTCGCTTCTGAACCCTCACGCGGACAGAGTTTCGGACCTAGACAGACGTTAGTCCTTGCAGGACAGACGTGATACATTCTCGTTACATTGCGTTCCCTTTCTAGTCTCGCAGTTCTCATTTCCCACCTTTTCTTGGTCCTTTTCGATGACTGTCGTCCCACTCAAGTTGACAGTGGTGTCATCTGTTCCGGGAACACTCGACGAGACGTCTGCTTGCTCACGCTTAGCTCCAGATTTGACGGTGGCATCGCCTTCAGCCGACTCGACGCATCCCTCGAGCAGTTTGAGCCGGCGTTTGATGTCCAGCTCCCGACGTTCAAGCTGTAGTTGACGTTTGTCCAGCACAATCTCGGCAAGTTCGTGCTGGAGCCGTGCTTCATCGTCCATGATGGTCCGGTGGGCTTTGATAGTGAGTCGTGTTCGGGCACCTTGACAATGTTTGACAATCAGTAGATGAGATTCGAGAGAGATTTGGAGCTGAGTAGTGTATCTTGCCTGTTATGCTGAAGGGCTGTGAGAAGGGCTGTGAGAAGGGGAAAAGAACAGAAAGGCGAAGGACGCGAAAGTAAACATTTGATCATTCTCGTGAGGTCGAGACCAAGGATGTAAACAGAACAAGGTGTCGAAGAGTCTGCCAGACCTCAAAAGCCATTGTTATGATAGTGATCTAGCAAGGGCAGATTTTCTTCAAACATCTCTCCATCAACCAGTCCGTCAACCCATTTCACTCTCGCCTTAGATTCTGTAGAACAACATCATGTCTGTAGAGGACATAGACGCCTGGGCCGAAGTACCTAGTCACCGTCATTTTTCTTCCTCGCTAGTGAAAGAAGGTCGACCAAGTACAGGTACATGGACTCGCTCAACTACGGCGATGGTAGGTACATGTACCTTTCTGGCTCAACACGCTCAGGTATGTATCGGCCTATCGCTCTCGAGTAGTCCATGTAGTGAATTTTAGGTGACAAGGGTGATGCTTAACCACATATGTGGGCAGGCCGGATGGTCTGGTTGGTTATGACGTCGGTCTCATGGCTCACTATGATCTTGTGCATTCACACACACAAGAAGATATCCGAAGGCCGCAAGTGCGATTCTCGCTTTGGACAGATTCTTTTTGTTGGTCACGGGCCATCAAATATTTTTATTGGAAAAGTCTTATGAGAGAATTTTTGTCCCTTTGTGAATTCTTCGTTACTGTACAAGGTACAAACAATTACGGATAGTTATATCGGAGGTAGGTGGCCCGAGACCATGCGCTTGCCATGCGGCCAAAACGGCCGAATTCCTTCTGGTAGTCCTTCCAGCAATTTATCTCTCTTACGTAGAGCGGCGTCGTCAGCCGTTGACGGCCTGACGGAATCCCATCCTGAGACTTACTACACCCAGACTGGTGATTTTTGCAAGAATAACTACAAAGCTGACCGGACGTTAGAGATCACCAAATAGACAGAGCCAAACCTCTACCTACCGCGATATTCTCCACTCCGAAGCACCTTAGGCCACGCTCTCTCGCGTCAACAAGATGTCTACCCGCGCCAACGAGTTCATCGCCGAGACGCTGGCTCAATACACCCCCCGTGCCGCGAACTATGACCTCTCACATGGTGGTTGGCACGTGGAACTGGGCCGAGATTTTGTCACCTGGTTGCCTCCTCCCAAGGGCGGTGCAGTACTTGACCTCGCATGTGGTACTGGTTTAGTCACATTACCTCAAGCTGAGGCGGTCGGATCTGGTGGCATCATCGTCGCCGTCGACATCACTGAGGCGATGCTCAACGAAGCCAAGCGGAAGCCGCTCCCCGTGGGAAGCGCAGAGGTGAAATGGGTGTTGGGAGACATCACCGACCTTTCGTCCTTGGAGGAAGTCCAAAGGGTGGTGAAGGAAAGGGGAGGATTTGACGTTATTTCGTGTTGTTCGGCGTTCGTCTTGCTTGAGGATCCCGCAAAGGCCATCAGACACTGGGTCACCCTTTTGAAGCCCGGAACCGGAAGATTGATCGTTGACGTGCCCACAGAGGATCGTAATTTGCAGTACCTGCTCAACTACCCACTCCGGCGCGCGTTGGGGAAGTCCATGGTCTACGATTTCGACTGGATACAAGGTATCCAGACCATACAGGACCTATTCAAGGATGCCGGGCTGGAGATAGAAAAGTCCTTTCGCACCAGGAGCTACATCCCTGAGCAGTGGTACGGCGCGGATCAGGCAATGGAGGCACTCGAAGGAAAGACCAGTCGAAGCGGGTTGTGGAAGAGTCTTTTCGACGGCCTCGAGTCCGAGGGAGGGACAGAAGCCGTGGAGAAAGCCAGGACAGCATGGGCGCGCATTTGGCAAGACCACTTGAACAAGGATGGCAAATTGTGGGACGGACACGCTTTGTATGTTTCGATAGGAAGGAGGGGAGAGTGAGGTATAACCATGGTTCCGCTCGACCCGTGTTCCGTCGACCAGCGACGGTGTTGTGCAGGGACTCCATTTCCTATCGTTGAACAAACACCACGCCCGCATCTTCAGGTCGACGCATCTTGGGTGTGATGATATTCATGGAGTCATCCAGCACCTGCAACAGCGCCGAGCTGGCCTGCTCTTCCGTCGTCATTTTCCCCTCCATGATTAGCGGTTTCAAGCGGCATTTGCTGAGCAGTGTCGAAATGACGGCCACGAATTCGACCTGGCTGAACTTCTTCCCGGGACAGACCCTGGGTCCGACACTCCAGGGCACAAACGCGGCGCCCGGTGGAGGATGAGCGAGGGACTCGACCCCTGTTGTCGGGTCGGTTACTATCCAGCGCCGCGGGTTCCATTTGAGTGAGTCGTCTCCCCACCACCGCGGGTCAGAGTGGACTGCATAAAGATTTATCGTCACGTATGTCTCGATCGGCACCATGATTTCTTGGCCCTTGACTCGCAGAGAGTGTGGTTGGCCGACACACCAGCGGTTCGTCGCGGGCACTGGCCCCCAGAGACGAAGGGTCTCATACTGAAATGTGTGAGCTCGTGCAGATACAGATTCAAAGTTGGTTCAACATACCATCAGTGCCAAACACCTCACGAGTTGCGGAAACACCTCTTCGTAGTCGAGCTTTCGACCCTCCCACTCTTTCAACACTGCGTCCACTTCTTCGCCCGCCCAGTCCTGGATCTCGCGGTTGGTGGCCAAGAACGGGATTGTGTAGGTCAGCGCGTTCGCAGTGGTCTCAAACCCGGCCAGATTGAAGATGTACAGGTTACCTAGCAATTCCGTGTCACTGAGGTACATTGGCTTCGCCCCGGCGCCGTGTCCGGCCTTCTTCTGTTCTCTTTTCGCCGCCTCGTCGGCCTCCACCAGGGCGCTGACGATATCGGCCCCGCTGCTGCTGCCACCTCCCTGCGTGATGGCCCGGTTGTAGGCGACGATCTCCTTCATGTATTGAATGAACTCGTCCGTCATGGCCGTGACCTGTCGATATAAGGCAGGCATCATCCAGCGGAACACACGTACATTTTTGAACAGCACGGCGAAGATGATGTTCTGGAGGAGAAACTTCAACGACTCGGCCAGACTGGTTTTGTGGCCCTTTGGGATCTCACGAAAGCCTCCGTCAAAGTCGTGGATGTGTCCGAAACCGGCAGCGGAGAGGACGTGCATCGCGATCAGGACGCAGTCGTTCCGGACGTCAAGCATGGACCGGCGGCCATCTGCTCGATTGGCCACCACCTCGATCATCTGCCTCGCCTGGCTGAGCGACTCGTCCCACACGAGCCTGTTGTTCTGCTCACGGAAAGCAGGATTGACGATCCTGCGGTGACGCTGCCAGTCTTCGCCGTTGACGCTGATGACATTGGGCCCGAAGGCGTTGAAGAGCTCGTACAGCGGCTGCGGCTTGACCCACGCTTTGTACTGGGTCTGCAGGTCCACGGCCACGCCAGGGTCGTTGACCACGATCTCGTTCTTCGTTGGGGAAACAACTACAAAGACGTCGCCGTACTTTTGGTGCGGGTGATACCGCTCGTCCTGGGCCCAGGAATGGTAGCTGAGCACGAAAAAGTGCCCGATCCAGGGCAAATGGCGGAGGTGCCTCAGGTACGGATAGGCCAGGATCAAGAAGTCGTCCTGCCATGAAAAGGGGATGACGACGATGGGAATCCCCAGTTTTCTCACTTGCAGGTAGTTGACCAGCAGCCCGTAGGCGCGTGCCACCAGCAAAGCCAGGAGCGGGATGCAGATGAATGACACGACCGTGGGATTCCACGCCATTATTGAGGTTTGACTAATTGTATTTTGGGGGTAACTATCTGATCCTCGGAGGACACGAGTGGTGAAGGGAACTTTTGAGCCCAAAGAAGGAAGAATGAGGACACAAACCTTTTTGTAGCCGTGCTTTGGTGATGTGTGGATGGACGGTTGGCTGGGTGGCTGGATGCCTGACAAGGGAAGCCAGTTTCGTATCCGGATTGTAGCATGCCGTATGTCGTATTCGCAATGTCGCTAATGGCGTATTCACAGTCTTGGGAGTCGGTCCATCAGGCACTACCACACGAGTCGAGATGCATCCGATTGGGGACAAATTCCGGGGATGGAAAACCATTCGGGAACGGATAAGAATCAAGAAAAGTCCCTGCAGCTGCGGTTGTTGACTCGCCCGCCCGGCATTCGGACAAGCGGCCAACCGATCAGAAAGCTTTTGAAATCCACGCGGAGTTGAGTCTGCCGTCTATTTCGTAGCGAGAAGTTCATCTTATGCGTATCGACACGTGTTGGCAGCTTTTGCACTTTCGGGAGTATCATAATTGGTGTATTGGTCTCATACCGCCTCTTCTGCCTGAAGTATCATTATTTACCCCATCGCCTGAAAGGAACCCCTGCGTCTCCGAAAATGTGTCTTCTAAGAACCACTCTCTGTTGGATCGTTGGCACCGACAAAACAAGTGGCTCCTTCGACCGAATCCACCCAAGAAGCGTCGAGGATGTTGGACGGCGCGCCAGACTTCATGGTGGTTGAGCCACAGACCACCGCATTACCGTTCATGGCGCCACGATGTCCGCAAGTATAGTCGCAGGTGACATAGTTGGCATCGGATGTGGTCGATGTCATCTGGATTGCTTGTGGGTGGCTCAGCGCTGCCAGTTTGGAGAGGTCAGTATGCCCTGGGGCTGCCAGTGGGAGAGTGTGGGAGACAGACGATTGAGGCTGTGGAGAGTCTTGTCTCCGTTTACATCAATGACGACTGCCGTATCGACGAAGATATCGCTACCTGTAGCAAACTTTCGAATGACGACGGTGCCTTCGAGAGCGCGTTTTGGCGGTGGATGTCCATGTACCCATCCTACGCTGATGGCGAGAACGGCAGAAATGGATGTGATCTTCATTCTGTATTTGTCGATAGGGCTGGCTCAGTGAGGACGTCGGCGGTAGTACACTACAGCAAAGACCAAGTCCACAGCGGTCACTCTCAGGTCAATACCGAACCTATATATGCACTACAAGAGAGTACCGTTAGCATCGCGCCTCTACACATCACATCCATCTATCTCCTAAAAGATGCCGCTCGTAGCTGAACTGTGTTTGACCTCTCCGAATAATTCTCATAGTACTTTGTGAGCCAATCGAGCATCGAGGTCAGTGGCTGACTGAACTCTCAGGTCTTCTCGTATTTTTAGTTGAGTTGGGATGCAACTCTGATTGATTGGAGACATGAGCCTGCGCCGGATATGGAAGGCGTTCAGATCTCACTGTGTAAACGGCACCGATTGTCGCAGGATGTCTCTGTGCATTCTTTTCAAGAGAGAGACGGATCACGTCAGGCGTCGGACGGTGTCTGGTGCCACCTAAGCAATGGGCATGACGGACGAGGTTTGGATTGAGAGGAACCACGAGGCTGAGATGTCGCAACAGGCGAGGCTCGCGCAGGCGGAGGAGGCGGCGCAGGCAATTGCCAAGACCTGCGCTTGTGTCTGACCTCCACCTGCGCCTAGGATTCTCAAACTGCCCTACGCTTTTCCTCCAGTTTCATCTTCACCCCGGTCTTTGTCTCACCTTCTGGCACGGACAAAGTCGGCGATGGCAGCTAAGCGCAATGGATCGGCCCTTTCGCATTAACAATGAACTCAAACTACTGACGTCCTTCGCAAGTTCCTAGGACATCGCTTCCCCCGAGCTATTGCCTATGCTCGGATAGGTGATATCCGATGAGAGTAGTGCCCTGTGCTTGCTCAACACAGCCATTCTACTGTACCGAGTACGCCCTGTACCATACTGACACTTTTCATGTTTCACCTATTCATCTAGACCTGGGGCCCTCGCCTATGCATTTCAGCTGTCGCTTTTGCACCTTTTCATCTGGCAAAACTGAGCAGTTGCTCCCAACTGTCAGCCCACGATTTCCGAACGAGCAGAATCGAGCTCGCTGTACCCCCCAGTTGCAGAGGTGTGCGTCTACATCTCACTGTTCAAACCTACATCATTTCCAACGTATACTTCACAGCAGCAACATCCATCAATTGGGCAGGTAGTTTGGGCAAACTTTGCCTAGAGTCATGACGAAGGATCATTTTGTTTGAGGCTATGCAAGGGCTTCCCTTGAGTATCCGTCTCCCCGCATGGCACCGTCGTGGTCTCTGACTCCATTCCAAAACAGCCTATTGATTCTTCAAACGATTTGCACGGGCATATTGCGCTGCGGTAACGATTTAGACGCAGGATCTGTGCCTCACCAAAAGAACCATTACAGGTCCCGTATCGTCACCGACTTGGGATTGCTCAGCATTCGCTTGGCTCTTGTCGTCGAAATCCCTTTGGCCTGGGACAAGATGACTGTGAAATCAAACTGCGACTTACCACTAACGCCTTCATCATCACCTGTCTCTCGAGAGGCATACTTGCGCTATATTGGGGCCAAACTTTCTATCCATGTCGACATTCCAGACTCATTCTGTCGCTTGCCCTTGCCGCGCAGAACGCCACGGTCACATTCGTTCATGCAAGCTGCATGCTACTTCAATAGCTCCTCGGCATAGAGGAGAATGAGGAAGATGCCAGGCTGTGTCCTTGACGGGGAAAAATAATGGTGAGTTATCCTCGTGGAGGTGTTTTATGAGATCCTTGACGGGAGCCTTCTACATAAACCTCACGGTAGGTCTGTCTGATTGCCCATTGTCTGTGCCTGTCTCTTCCTGGCAAGTTCGAAATGTATTTCAGCAACGCAAATATACTTTTGCCCATTCTCGTTCTGCAGGGCCTCGTCCTTGAGGCCGTTCCTGTGGAGGCAACAACGGTATTATCTGACCGAGCAGCCTTTCGCACCTTGAGACCTATTACAAGACATCCCCGGCTCTCCAGAAGAAAAGCGGACCTCAGACCAGTTCACAGCGCTGAACTGGGATATGCAGACGGTAACTTCAATTTGACAGACAGAAGAACCTGAGGCTGACCGCCATGTAAGGCAATGGTCAACAAAGTCCGATCTTCTTCTCCTCTATCCAGTTCCAGTCCGACAAACCAGTACTTGTGCTTGAGCAGATGGAGGACTTCCTTGCGGACATTCAGTGTTCTGACAGAGACATCACTATTCTATTCCACACCACTGCGGCTTTCCAGGAAGCAAAACAGTTATGGAGGGACCTTGACAGTGCCTATGTTGTCGCTAATCATGCAAATTGTTCTGATGACGAACAGCGGACCACATTCCAGTAAGCGATATGCCGGTCCACATTGGCATCAGACCAGATCTCATGCAATGATGGCACTAACTGAACCAAGAATCCGCTATATTACCTTTGAGAAAGATTACAGCGTTGCAATTCTCCACACAGAGAAAGTAACATGGCAAGATGCCTTCCAGAACTTCCACTTGAAGTTCGGACACATCAACGAACCACATTCGCCTGTCCAGCAGCCACAACACTTGGATCGAAGACAAATCTCCGACGAAACAACGCCAACATCAACCTCCGCTCCACTGGACCTGACAGCAACGTCTTTGATCCCCACGGACACCTCGACCGCAACGTCCACTTCCCTGGCTATTGACCTCAGCCATGGTGTCCAAGACTCTTGGTTTCCTGACACTGTGCAATCCACCGGCACCCAGCTCCCCATCAAAATCGGCTGCAAAGAATGCAGCACCAACGGCACTTTAAGCCTCGCGCAGGGCGAGTGGAGCGTCCTCTCCCCGGCCGACTGGATTGGAGTCGAGGACTTGACGGACATCGTCTCTGCCGGAAATGTGCAGCTCGCTGTTGAAGGGTTCGTTGCGCATGTGGAGGTTTCGATCGAGCCTAGTTTAAAGGGAGACATGAGTCTGTCCTTGTTCAAAATCCCGGTTTTCGGATTCTCGGTAAGTTGCAAACCATTATGATCAAGTCAGTAGAACCATGTCCTAACACGCGCTGTGTAAAGATTCCAGAGCTCGGGTCTGGCGGCATTCTCTTCGAGCCAACATTGTCCTTGGGATGGGAATTGTCTGGGGGCATTGAAATGTCCTATGGTTTTGAGTTGAAGGTATATTCCCTTGGACTATAAGCAAGGGCTCGCTAATATTCGTGGTATTTGCAGATCCCGAATCTTTCAATCAACCTCGATTTTGCAGACCCGACCTCCTCGAATGTGACAGGGCTGTAAGTCTCCACAAACACGAGGCTACCATTTATGGGGTGGCTGACTTCTTGTCCGCAGTGACGGCATATCCATCACGGACGTCCCCTTCCAAGCTAATGTCTCCGACATCGATCTCTCTCTCAGCCTCTCTCTCACGCCACGAATTACGCTCGGCATTGAAATCCTGCACGGCTTGTCCGCCGAAGTCGGCACATCCCTTGACCTCCCCAAGGCCACCGTCGCCATTACCCAGCTGGCCACGACTTCCGTAAATGCCAGTTGTGCAGATTCGAGCGAAGCGCCAGCCTTTCAGGCCGATTTTGAAGAGCAGTTCCACAATCTGACTCATGTGGCCATGGGTGTCGAGTTGGGCGCGGGCTTCGACATGAGTGCCCGAGTCGATCTGCTTCCCAATCTTGCCTTCTCTAGCGCTTTGGAGCTGGCGACTGTGCCTGTGGCCGCACTCCCAACGCGGTGTTTGGTATTCCAGACCGACGCCCCTTCGGGACCGGGGTTTACACCAGCGGTATCAGCGCTTGCACAGGTCCAGGCTCGAGCTGTGGCTTCCGCATCTGCTGCTTCGGCCTCTTCTGCTTCTGCTGCTGCAGCGTCTGCCGCCGCCACAGACCAAGGCGGGTCAGCTAACTCCGCCGAAAATGCGGCACCAGGTCATATGGGTGCTTGGCTCGATTCTCCGATGGAAAGAATGTGCTTTTATGTGTTCTTGGTCATGGCTGGCCTCTTCATGAGTCTGTAACAATATAGTGTTGGAAATTATAAAGCACATGGCCCAGTAGCTGCTAGGCAGTGTTCGATGCGAAGATAGATGCCGAAAATGAAGCATGTATTCCCTGAGCTGTTGAATTCTGGCAGACCCCCAGGACGTATTCCGCCAAAACGTTTCACCTATTCCGTAGTTTGCTAATACACGCAGAAAGCTGGCCACTGAGAATTGCCCTGGCACTGATTCCTCATCACCTCGACGGGCTCAAAGGTCTGTTGAACCCACCGACACGATTCATGTACTGCCTGTAGGTAGTCTTCTTTTCCTTCCTCACGCCGTAGATCTGGTTCCCAGGCACCTTGGTGTTGTGTGTCGTCTTGAACATGGTAAACCCCATCATCTTCCTCAGTAGGGCGTCTTCGTCGTCTTCATCAATGGCCATGGTATCGCCGTTGGCTACAGGTTTGTCCGCATGGGCTGACACATGCTCTTCCCCTCTGGGCTTTGGTGGCTTCACGTCGTCATCCTCGGTCTTGTTCCTGTCCCGCGGTCTAGTCCGATCATGGTCGCTTCGCCGAAGAGGGGAGCGTGTGCGCACGGCATCACGACCGCCGTTCCTGGCCGGTGAACGTGATCTTGAGCGTCGGTGGGAGCGTTCGGCTCGGTGATCTGTGGTCGCGTGAGCACGGGAATATGTATGGATTGTGGAGTTCAGTGGTTTGTTTGTTACCTTTTGATTCTCGCTGTCTGTCACGGCTCCTCTCTCGCCGACCGTGGCCATTGACATCTCGGTCTCGCCCACCGGCACCTCCTCCTCTGTCTCGATTTCGATCTCTATCGCGCTCGCGCTCCTTGTCCCTATTCCTGTCCCGGTCCCGATCTCGCTCACGGTGCGTCGGTCTCTCTCTGGATCTGCTCCGATCCCTCCGTCCGTCGGGGGTGTCTCGCGACCTCGATCTCCTTCTGCGCTCGTCGTCTCGTCTGGGTCCGCGGCGATCCTCGTCCTGGGTGTCGCGCGGCTTGGGCTTGTGGTCACGTCCGCTCGAACTAGGCAGGGAGTCTGGCGTCTCGTTCTCATCCCACATGGCGGCACTCGTTGTGCGTTTTGTGCGTTTCGCTGGACGTTCATCCATGGTTGCAAGACCGCCGGAAGCCTCGAAATGTGACAAACTTCTGAATTGGGTCCGGGCAGGGTGTCACTGCGGAGCAGGTGGAAATTTCGGTGGTTGTACCAGATCCTTTCAAACTTATCGAGAGAGAGTATGCCGCGACGTAGAGTACGCTGGATCATTCGGCGACGGTGACGCAACACTTATCAGAATATGCTCGGAATCGTTCCAGCAACGCAGAAGAAGGTATTGTCGACTGTTGAAACTATTGTCATCTTATAATTTGAGGTCTTTGGTGGTTTGGGGTCTATTTTGTCTGTTTTTGCGAGTTCTTTTGTGTTGCAGGCGTGTAGAGAAGACGAGGCTGAGCTCATCAGGTGCACTCGGCGCAAATGCAACAAACTCACCAAACAAAGCAAACTTCGTCATTACTTTCCCCTCAACGGTCGAGGCACGCCAGGCTGAGCGGTCACGAACACCCTCTTCCAGTGCAGCCTACTTCTACACGTCTTTCTACTTACGAAACACTCTTCTCGAATTTGTATCACCAATTATCGATTCTTACTTGTGTACTCCAGAGAACCTGAGATATATCAGTCATCGACGCGCGCTGCTAGCCTCAGCAGCTACAACCTCAGCTCTCCGACCAACCCCACCCCGTCTCAGAGCAGAATCGCTTGCTCTCGAGTCAAACCATGCAGTATCTTCGCTCTGGTCTCGACCAGCTTCGCGACCGCTACGCGCCTATCCGACACACCTCGACCTTTCGTAGTACAGGCCAAATCACACCGGAAGAATTCCTGCTCGCGGGAGACTACCTGGTCTACAAATTCCCCACCTGGTCATGGTCTGACGCCTCGAGTCCTGCGCGCCGGGTCAGCTATCTCCCCCCAAACAAGCAATTTCTCGTGACGAGAGGAGTGCCCTGCCACAGAAGGTTAGATGAGAACTTTGCGGGTGGACACGGCGCGGCGGATGATCTGGTCAGAGATGGATTCCTAGGCGGCCCCGACGAGGAGACTGGTGGCGGTGAAGACGATGGCTGGTTAAGGACGGGAGGGACGACCGAGAAAGAGCAAGAAGGCCTGAGAGCGGAAGTGCGGACGATGAGTGAGAGTGGGCATCTTGGACAAAAAGCCACCGAGGAAGAGGACGAGGAAGAAATCCCGGATATGGAGGACGAGGACGATGATAATGAGGCTATCATAAGAGATAAGGGTGAAGGCACATCTGCGTAAGACACTCCTCTTCCATTCCAGGTTGTTTCGGGATGCGTTCATACCCTGACACAGTTTACAGGCCTCTTCGGACATACACACTCTACATCACCTACACACCCTACTATCGTACTCCACGCATGTACCTCTCTGGTTACCTTTCTCCCAGCGAGCCTCTGCCACCGCACCTCATGATGGAAGATATTGTCGGCGACTACAAAGACAAAACGGTCACCTTGGAAGACTTCCCCTTCTTCGACAACAGTGTTAAGATGGCGAGTATCCACCCTTGTAAACATGCCAGCGTGATGAAGATCCTCCTCGACCGTGCCGACGTGGCCTTGAAGCTTCGACTGGAGAGACAGAAAGCGACTGGCACCGCCGCCAATATCTCAGGCATGGAAGGTCTGATTGACGATACGGCAAATCTCAGATTGGCTGAGCAAAAGCGTGGACATGAAGCGGGTGTGAAAGCTGCTAGTGGCGGCGCAGGAGATGAATGGGAGGTATTGGATGAGCAAGACAGCAAAGAAGAGGAGAGCGAGAAGGTGGCTATCCGGGTAGACCAATATTTGGTTGTGTTCTTGAAGTTCATGGCGAGCGTAACGCCAGGGATTGAGCATGACTTTACCATGGGCGTTTGATGGATACACGGTGGGCAGCCTACGATGACGGGTACGAATATGATATGAATGGGACAGGGTTGGGATATTGGGCTTCTGGGAGTTGCACAGAAGGGCTGAGGCTGTTCCTCAGGTTGATTATATCAACATCAAGAAAGTTATATTCTTATGGGCTGAGACAAGGAACTGAGATGGCATTGTTGTTTCGTCCCATCCTAGAATGCTCCAAGCTGCAGTGACCCCTCGTCCTATCTTCAACGTCTGGAGAATGTAGTATCTTCCATCCACGTCGATGATGTCTTCTCCGACCGACCATCCATGCTCGTATTTATCGAATGTTGATTACTCGCCGAGTCTGCTGTATATCATGGCCCGCCCCGGCCAGCTGACCATTGTCATCGCTTACCTTGCCCGACATCACTAGCCACTTCACCTGCACGAAGTACCAGAGCGGGTAGAGATGTCACGCCTGACCTTGAACAGAGCGCATCTCGAACGCATGCAGAAGTGTACGTCATTTCCTACTCGTATTTCTTCGCCGCCCTACAGATGACTGGATGCATATTCGACATCCTGGCCGACCGGTTCTTAGCAGTCTCATGTCCACGACTGCGCTGCCAGGGTACCCCATCTTGATCGACCCGACTGCTCAGGCTGCGCCGCACAAAGACGCCAACAGAGAGGATCAACTGGTCGAGTCGTCCATGCTGGTTTACGTCATTCTGTGGAGTTTGAGCGGCGATACGCGGCTCGTCAGCAAACGCGTTGTCTGACTTCACGTGCGTAGGCTGCGTTTATCTCCTGAGATCAGGTATTTTTCTGCGGATTTCTAGCTGATGGCCCTATGGAGAGAAAAAGAGGGAGACATGGGTATCTTGCAGTGCCGAGTACGTGGCATGCATCATGTTCTCTTCCCTCACACCCTGCCACCTGCGCATCTCCATGAAAAGCCGAGATGCTCTCCACAGAAGCGGCGGCCTCACCGATCTACCAGACAGTTGGACACACAAAGTGCACTGGTCTCCCAAAGTGGGCCGCGGGAACTATGCTACGTCCGCAAACCCGAGATTCCAGTTCACAAGGCTGTGCTCTCGGGGAAGCTCGAACCACTAGGTCAAAGCAAGAGAGAGATCGAGACACGGCTTGATTTCCTTTTGGCTCCTTGGCCATGTGGCATTCAGGGATCATACACCAAACCAAGGCACATTAGTGGCAGGACTTGGGACGGCTGAAAAAGGTGCAGAGATGGGCATTTCCAAGGATATGTCTTTCCGAAGAAATGATTACAGCCTACTGAGCTTGAAGATCAGTCCACTATTCTCACTGGTACCCAGTCCTTTACGAGGTACATGGTTATCCGATTCAGATCAGGCTGGCACATCTGGTGTGACCACACGGTGGAGCGGCCCGCGGCCCTCAACGCATTGTCCTCGTACGACTTGGATTCGAAATGACACATCCGACGTCGCTCAAGGTTACTCTATTGAGTATAGTGAGAGATGTTTGGGAATATCAAGGCTGCAAATTAGTCAAGGGCGCTTCACAGGTGTTCCGCCAGGTGCCACGAGAATGTCAGCAATTCTGGTCGTCACCTGCTGTACGACCCAGACGAACAAATCGCATGTCAACCTCGCTCCTCTTTGCTTGGTTCGAGCATAGCCAACAAGGATTAGCAATATCAAAATCACCACTGGTCGACCAGACCTCTGATGCTTTACTGCAGGAACCCTGGATCGAGGTAGGATGCTTTCCATCCCATTCCCTGTCACAGCACAATAGTTTCCGAGCACGCACATGAGATGGCATCTATTTTGGACTTGTTGTCGACCAATTCAATGGACCCATGTCATGAACCTCTTCGAGCAGGTGAGCTTCAGAACTGTGGTCCTCTTCTCGCTGAACGTGTACACTTTCAGACGACCGGTGCTGACAGAAAGCGGTACTTTCCTTTGCGTTACCTGATGTCGTTCCGTGGCCTCTTGCATTATGCACCGTGACGCACCGGATGGATCTTGATTTGGAGGAGGGAAGCATGACGGGAAGAAACGGCCGTTCGGATATCTCTATATAAGAGCAGCCATGGAGAAGACAATGGCATCCGTGACATCTTCGTGTGAGTCAAACAGTTGCCCTTGAGACCACATCACGCAGTCTCATTCTCAACCATGCGCCCTGTCTACAACCTTCGTGTTCTGCCGGCCATGATTGGTATCACGGTCACACTCCTCTTCTTTATTCGCGGAACATTGGCTGCTTGTCCGTACATGCAAGGTGGGCAAGGATTTCAAGGGCAATCGTCGGAGCATGAGGCGAAGACCTACGTGAAACGGCAGACGTCGCTTTCCAACAGCACAGATCCTGTCGACACTTTTCTTGACCAATTTACGCTCAATGACACCGACACGTATATGACTTCGGACGTTGGTGGACCAATACAGGATCAAGAGAGCTTGAAAGGGGGGATCAGGGGACCTACACTTCTCGAGGACTTTATGTTCAGACAGAAGATCCAGCACTTTGATCATGAACGGGTGGGCACAATTTAGAGAATGAGAACACGACACGTGCGACTGGAGAGAGTACTGAGCTAACGTCTTTGGTTGTACCCAGGTCCCGGAGAGAGCTGTCCATGCGCGAGGCACAGGTTCGTTCAGTGTCTCGGCTGATTGCGCAGTCTCTATAGATTGCTGACTTACCGCCCAGGGGCTCATGGTGTCTTCACAAGCTACGCTGACTGGTCAAATATCACCGCGGCTTCGTTTCTCTCTGCAGCAGGAAAACAGACGCCCATGTTTACCCGGTTTTCTACTGTTGCAGGAAGTAGAGGCAGCCCCGAAACGGTCCGAGACGTCCATGGCTTTGCCACTCGTTTCTATACCGACGCCGGAAATTTTGGTAAGCCCCCTATTGGGCTGAGAATTGTCTGAGAATTCTGGAGTGATCAGAACACATTCTAATCGATATCCAATATAACAGACATTGTCGGAAACAACATTGCCCCCTTTTTCATTCAGGATGCGATCCAATTCCCTGACTTGATCCATGCCGTTAAACCGGAACCAGATAGAGAAATTCCACAAGGTGGCACCGCTCACACCACAGCGTGGGATTATTTCAGTCAACAGCCCTCCACTTTGCATACCCTGTTCTGGGCCATGGCGGGCTATGGCATTCCACGATCCTTCCGGCATATGGATGGCTTCGGAGTCCATACTTTCCGTTTCGTGACCGAGGATGGTAATTCGAAGCTGATCAAATGGCACTGGAAGACCCTGCAGGGCAAGGCAAGCCTGGTGTGGGAAGAAGCCCAGGTGTTGGCGGGGAAGAACATCGACTATCACAGGCAGGATCTGTGGGATGCCATTGAGGCCGGTCAGTATCCAGAGTGGGAACTGGGAGTACAGATCATGGATGAGGCCGACGAGCTCAGCTTCGGATTTGACCTGCTCGACCCGACCAAGATCGTGCCAGAGGAGATCGTGCCAGTCACGATCCTGGGTAAGATGACCCTGAACCAGAATCCTCGCAACTATTTTGCCGAAACGGAGCAGATCATGGTAATATCACTCATCGGCACTACTTCTGACGAGAACAAGGCTGATGCGGCTACAGTTCCAACCAGGACATATCGTCCGTGGGATTGATTTCACAGAGGATCCTCTCCTCCAGGTATGTCTACATGTTAGAGCCCGCCACGTCCACCGGCTCACCTTGTCTACTAGGGCCGAATCTACTCCTATCTCGACACCCAATTGAACAGACACGGGGGCCCCAACTTTGAGCAGTTGCCTATCAACCGACCCCGGATACCTATCCACAACAACAACCGGGATGGAGCTGCGCAGATCTACATTCCGCTCAACGTCAACGCTTACACGCCTAACACGGGCAACAACGGCTCGCCCATGCAAGCTAATCAGACTGTAGGGGACGGCTTCTTCACGGCCCCAGGCCGTACAGTGGGCGGGTACCTCGTGCGGGAGAAGTCGTCAACGTTTGCGGACGTGTGGTCCCAGCCGCGGATGTTCTACAACTCGTTGATCCCGGCGGAGCAGCAATTCCTCATCAATGCGATGCGCTTCGAGACCTCGCACATCACGTCCCCAGTCGTCAAGCAAAACGTCATCACGCAGCTGAACCGCGTCGACAACGACCTGGCGGTGCGACTTGCAGAGGTGCTGGGAGTACCTGCCCCAGCGCCGGACCCGACGTACTACAACAACAACCGCACAGCGTTTGTGTCCATCTTCAACTACTCGCTGCCGACGATCGCGGCGCTGAATGTGGGCATCCTGGCCAGCGTCACGGTTCCAGACTCGATGGCACAGGCGACCGCGCTGGCCCAGGCCCTGTCGCAGGCCGGCGCTTTCCCCCTCATTGTAGGCGAGACGCTGACCGGCGCGGTCAACCAGACCTACTCAGCCTCGGACGCGAGCGGGTTCGACGGCGTCATCATCACCACGGGGACTGACGCCCTCTTCACCACAAACTCGTCCACCTCGGCCCTCTACCCCGCGGCCCGCCCGCTACAGATCCTCCTCGACGCCTACCGCTGGGGGAAACCTGTCGGTGCCCTGGGAGAAGTCACTGCTTCCACCGTCTTCGGACCCGCTGTCGCCAACATCCCCGCCGGGCCGGGCGTGTATACCCTAAACTCGACGGACACAAGGCCGTTTGTGACCGCCTTTGAGGGTGGGCTGAAGACGTTCCGCTTCGTCGACCGGTTCCCGCTCGACTCGTCCTCATGAGGTCGGCAACGGTAGCGACGCGAGTGGCCAGTGGTCAGGTCCACCAGGACCAGAACCAGAGCAGTCATTCAAAGTGCAGGAAGGGGAGTCGAGAGTCACGAAGGGAATCCCTCCCCGAAGCTGGCCTCTCACCTCCTTGTCTATTTTTGTTCTTCTCTCTCTCTCTCTCTCTGGGTTATTTGCAGAGAGTCCCTCGATACATATCTATCTATATTCTACGCGCACACGCGCACGCACACAGAAGAAAGCGGACTACCACGTCACCGATGACAAGATCAGCTGTGTGTGTGTGTGTGTGCGCGTGCGTGCGTGTAATGGGCCTACCTAGCCTAGGAGGATCCGGGATTTATCCAAGTCGGTTCGGCGGACTGGAACACACGATTAGTGTGGTTTTGTCGGCAAAATAATGATAATAAAGGAATGGTGGTGTATGAGATCCCTGTTTGCTATTTCCTGTTTCTGAGCTATAGGAAGTGACTGCCTGTAATATGTTCCATTGTGGTTATCCCCTTTCTTAACAGAAACTCCGTAAACACCTCGCTCGTAACCGAACTCAACACATCCCATCCAGTACAGAATACACCGCTTGTAGTGCCAACTTGATAGCATTCGAACCACAAGTCTAACCCCGTCCAGAGTCAAGACTCGACTCCCCTCCCCAAAAAAAACTCAGTGAGAGGTATAGACCCATGTGCCAGCTATCCAGCTCTGGCATCCACGGGTCTTGTCTACTCCTCGAGCGGTTCGGCCATTGCATTGGCCACCGCAACGGGCAAGGGGACCGGAGCCGGAAGAGGAGCAGGGGCAGGGGCAGGAACAGCCTGTTGCATGCCCTGCACTGGTGCCGGTGCCGGTGCCTGTGCTTGAGCGGGGGCTGGTGCTTGTGCTGGTGCTTGTGCTGGTTGTGGAGGTCCCGGGCTCACTGATTGAGGTCTGCTGGCGACGGGTTTTCTCTGGGGAGGGGAATTGGGCATGGGCATGCCATTCGCAGTGCCTGGGTTGAGGTTGTTGTTGTTGGGGTTACTGGGCGGAGGAGAGTTGTTGGGAGGGTTGGTGACACCGTTGGCACCGTTAACACCATTGACGCCATTAACGTTGTTGGCGCTGTTCATGGGTGTCGGTCCATTCGGTCGGGGCTGTGCCTGTGACGGGGGCCCGTTACTCGGAGGAGGTCTCTGTGCCATGTTCGGGTTCGGGCTGGGGCTGGGGCCAGGTCTGGGACCGGCCTGTGGATTCCCATTGACTCCCTGAGGATTGGGAGGGCCGTTGGGTCTGGGTGCTCCACCGCCCGGAGCTCCATTCATGCCTTGAGGATTGGGAGGGCCGCTCGGCCTGGGCGGTCCGCCAGCTGGATTGCCGTTAGGACCTTGCGGATTGGGAGGACCACTTGGTCTAGGCGGCCCACCGGCTGAAGGCCCGTTGCCGCCCTGGGCATTGCTAGGAGCTGGAGGCCTCGTCGGGCCGCCGGATGGAGTTCCATTGACGCCCTGAGAATTGTTCGGGCCACTCGGTCTGGGTGGTCCACCAGCGGGAGTCCCGTTAACGCTTTGCGCATTGCCAGGGCCAACAGGTTTCACGGGAACGGGGACGGGGACGACCGCTGCCGGAACCTCACGAGGACCCGAAGAGTCCTTGTCGTTGACCCATTTGAAGACAAAATACAAACCAATGCCGCAAAGCCAGACAAAGACGCCCACGCCGGTGGTGAAGAACAGCGTCGGCAAGAGAATGATCAAGGAAAATCCCGCCGCAGCCGTTACAAACAACAACGCCCCGAGCAGAACAACGAGTACTCCGGCAAGCAGGGAGAAGATGAAGACCGTGACGGTCATCAGTCCGAAGAGGAGGAGTGGGAGGCCGCTGATGGCGGTTTGACTGAGCAGGAAACTTGCGAGGTACGGTCGGTCCGTGGCGAAGGCCAACAGCCAGGCTTTCCATTGTTGGCGTTGCCGCGGCGGGAAGAAGCGGTCGAGATAACTGCTGGACAGGGTTGCCAGGTTGTTGACGCCGCCTTGCATGATGCTGCTTGCGGCGGCGACGCTGGGAACTGCCAGCGAACCGCTAGGGGCGGGATTGGATCTCGGAGGATTGGCGGCCATTGGATCTGAGGTGCTCAAACGTCGTGAAGCGTTGAGCTTGGCTTGGGGAGACCTTGAAGACCTTTGGCAGGATTGATCAGACAGTAATCATCGGATGTTTGGACAAGCTTTTGTTATTATTGTGATGTTGCGATGGTGGTGGAATCGCGTCGGGGTCTCAGGCGCGCAGTCACTTCGAGCATTCATGGCTTGGAGGAGAGAATGAGAGGAAGGATCTTTGCTCGGAGCTTTGTACTGCGCTATATGGGTACATTGATTCGACCGATGAGGATTGGTGTCGTCTGATGGATGGGTTCAATCTGGAGGCGTGGGTTGATGGACGAGTAACGCGAAGGGGGGCTGAATCTCACGCAGGCGAGGCGAGACTGCGAATCTGCGAAACTGACAAACTGCGGGCGGTGCCAAGGTGGATATTCGTGAATGAGACCAGAAGAGGCCGTTTCTAAGTTTGTACACGATGCTCACCCTGCGATCCTCCGAGACCGATTTGGGTTCAAAGATAGATCTGATCACATCCCGTAGCGGGACTCGCCATGCCCGAGAAAGCGGGAAAGGGAGGAAGAGATGTGGAGATCATTGTGTGCCACCAGTCAGCACCAACGCTTTACCCATCTCCTCGTCTGCAGACACTATGTTCATTGGCCAGATCAAGTACTCGAGTTCTACTATGCTCAGTTCACTAGTGACCCTATTATTTGATTACATTGCCCGCCTGTGCCTGGATGACATCCTGTTTGGTGTTGAACGCATTATTCCCTTTGTACAGCACTCTAGATCCAACCTTTTGCTTCCTGCGTTCTCAGCCTGCGCCATCGAAATGGCCCCCACCACTCGAAGAGAGGATTGCGCAGCAGCGCGTTGTGGCCAGCGCGTCAGAAGGCGTCAGGGTTGTCTTGTTCTCAAGGATGGCGCATAATAAAGACTCGTCAGAAGTCAGGGTTGTTCGCTTGAACCCTGGAGTATTGTCTGCTCTGTACGTCGAAGACCCCACAAGATCCAGTCCTTGAGTTCGAGACCTCTATATCGCGCGCCCCATGGTTTGTCCCATGCCAGGCAAAGCCACAATGGGGCCAGGGTAGAAGTCGAAGATAGAGACTCACGCCGGACAGCCCAAACTAGAGTTGGTCCGAAGGCCTGTATTTTACAGCGGTGTGTTGCGGACGCCGCTGGCCATGGGAAGAGCTGATTATATGTCAGTCCCGCCCCGATATCTGATCATGTATGTAAGAGGTGCTGGAGACATTTGTGGATATGTCAGGGTGGGTGTGGCATCGTGGATAAGCAGAGGCTGGAATTATTGAGGCAATGATGACACTCACGTGAATTCGCGAATGGCTTCTGGGTCTTGGCGCGTTTCTCACGAATAGGATGAGACGCGACGCAACCCACGTCATTGCATCTCTATCGTCTAAATACCGTCTCTCTCCCCATCTCAAGTCTTCTGAGCCGCGGCACGACTTCTTCTGATTAATTATCGAACATCGGGATTCATATTGGGCCCGAAGGCCTCCCTTCGAAATTTTGTTGCCCAGCTGGATAATCATTTATGAGTTCTCTGTCCCTCCAAAGCCAGAAATCGTTGAAGTCAGCCAGGTGACAGCAGCCATCCCCCTCTCAGCTAGCACATCATCAACTCGGCCGTATGAATCCCCGATTCGAGGTTGGTCATTGACGATTCAATCCAGGCCCCCCCGTCGCCTATCTACATGCAAAGCAACCCAGCTTGGTCGCACGGCACTGCTATGCGCCTATAGTCGCCAGATGCTAGGCACTCCGAACCACCTGACCCGTTCGCTAGACCCTTCACCTCGGTTTAAATCCAGTATCTAGTATCAATGCCCTCTAGGCAGCATCTCCTACATACAGCAGCTGTTTGGTCCTGCTCGGGATATATCTCGACGTGTCGAAGAATTCGAGCGGGGCTGCTCCTTGCCAAATCTGAAGACGGGCGACTCGAATCTGGCAACCGGCCCGCGATGTCGCTAGTCTCCTGGACATTCAGGCGTTGTCCTTGGGAGTCAATGCTAGCTTGGGGGACCAAGTACACCGTAACAGCACAAATGCATTGGGGGTATTCAAGACAATCCTGGAAGTCACAGCCTTGAAGGCCCTCAACTCTGCATTCTCGTGCGGATGGGCGCTACTTCCTTATCCCCACAGGCTTATCAATGCAGAGTCTGCGACAGCAGTCGGTGCCTGTGCACGTGATATAATATGACCTCTTCGAACCTCGCCCGCCGTTTGGTCAAGTGCTTTAAGCACAACACGACAGATGAAGTGTGTCGTTGTCTCCATTTCTTGCTCTCTCAAAGTCACATGGAGAACATGCCACCAATGCCCGGCTCTGGTTCGGCGAACCCGGCCCAGAACAGGTCGTTGAATGGATCCATCCCAAACGCACTGTCGAGGTAGGCTACAGTGGCAGCGTGCTGTTGCTGTGCAGGCAGTTGCGTCGGCAGTTGGACACTGTTTGTTCCGTTCGAAGATGAGAGGCTTCGTTGGAGACAGTTCTGGTGGTAGATCTTCATGTTGGCCCACTCATTGGCGAGTTTTTGGAAGTAGCTGCAATCGTCATTCTTGAGGCGATGCAGTTCCTGAGCCCGTTGGCACAGGGTGTCGAGACACTTGTCCAGCCAGGCAGCTCGTTGGGAGGCCTCGGTGCTCGCGTAGGCCGAGTCGAGGATGATGGACGACTTGGTCGACAGCATGATTGCAAAGTTGACACTGCGCCAGTCGACGGCGGTCCAGTCGGCCAAGTCTTCGAGGCTGCTCTCGAGAGCTAATGAAAGGAATTTCATGATGCCGTTGAAGCAGTCGTAGATGATCGACACGCGGGTCGCAGACGGCACTTGACCTTGGAGGAGTCCATACAATCCCACCTCGCGCATGTATGACCGGATGCTATAATATCCGCGTTGGATACGGTCTGCAAATGCCCCCGAGACATGGTGAGTGACTTGGTTTCCCTTTAGCAATGGGAACATCACTTACTCATGTTGAACATGCCAGGCGGAAGGGCAGCTTTCCAGTCCTCCAACTGCCTCGACAATGCCCTGACCAGGATCTGGACTTTTTCGTCGGTGAGCTCGCCCACTTTCTCCTTGGAACCGTGGTCGAAGTGGTACGTGACCTCTTCGGCCAGACGTAGAGTCCGGACATAGTGAACGAGCGTGGTATCCGACGGATGCTGAGGATCTGCGGCCAGCGATGAAGCACAGTCGTCGAGATATTGGGTATAGGTCAACATGCAGGGTTTTCTGAACATGAACAAACCACTGAGACCGAGTCAGTAGAGATCAGGACGAGGCAGCGGGGCTTGTCTTTTACAAAGTCGAGACGTTGTAGGCGCCGATATAGGCCCTTCGGGCCTCGTAGCCCCAAAACTTTGACGACACCACCTCGTTGCTCTGCGTGAGGGATGACCCCGAATTGACAATCATGTCGTGCTGTGTGACGTTCATCGGTTTCTGGTCGATACCTAGCTCCACAGCCATGGTCACCACCAGTGAGGCCAGCCGGTAGACTTGGGTGGCAACGGGATAAGCATGCCAATGGCACCTAGAGACGGTGAGAACGTTGTTCCCTTCTTCCAGAAGGGGAGTCCGTCCTTACCAGCCAAAGTATACAAGCAATGCCTGTAGGAGATCCAGCGATCTCTCCGACCGGACAAAGTACATCTCCCCTAGATCCTTGAGGAATTTATCCTTCAACGCAGACTGTCGTGCCGGCGTCCGCCATGTGGTGCTGATGAAGATGGCCTGGGCAAGCATTGGTCTCTCCTCGATCAGCGTCGCGACCGTGCATGCCTCGGGGAGGAGCACGTAGGGGAAGTGGTTCGACGACATGCGTCGGTAGTCGTTGAGCAAGCTCTCACACTCTTCCGGGGAAATATCAAGCAGACAGTGGCTGGTGACATCGGAGTGGGTGGAATGGAACCCTGATGGCGACACCAGCTCTGGGTTCTGCGACATGTGTGAGTCGGTATAGGATGGTGTCGGATTGGACATGACCGCCGTCGTCGCATTCCCAGTGGCGTCGCACAGAGTCTTCTGGCTTCGAAGCAACGACAGGATCTCTGTGTAGCTGCTCTCCAGTTGTTCCACCCGACCACGTACTGTCATCCATGTTAGCGACGGGGATGTCCAAACTGTGTAGATTTCTCAGGCGTGCCATACAGCGAGCTTTGCGCTTCCTCTGCTTGACTTCAGGTACTTGACATTGCTTTCCCAGTCTCGCACACCTTTGCGGCCCACAGTCGTCACTTCACTGACCACCAAAAAGAAGGCGGTGCCTTGACAGAGAGAGAGAGAGGGAAGGAGAGACACGGTCGAAACAGTCTGAAGCTCACCTGTTGCACGCATCGCCTCCGTCGTCACTGGGAGCACAACGCAGCTTCTTCTCCCGACACTCCTTGCAGGCGGCGTGTTTTCTCTCTTCGGTCATTTTTGGGTCTTAGTTCATCAAAAGCGTGGGCGAAGCAACAATGCTTGACAATCTTAACACCGGCCCCGGTGCACAAGAAGCCATATAAGGGAAAAGGCCACTGTGGACCTTAAGCCTTCATTATTCAAAATGGACCACCTTGATGCGAAATGCATGCAATGCCATGCTCACGTCTGGCACCGAGTCGGCCGTGAGGGGCGGATTCGGGGGTCGGACACGATAATGAGGCCGATGGGTGCCGAACATCCGAGTTTATCTTTCTCCCTCCAACAACCCAACGCTGCCACCGTATTCCGGCTCTGTCGAAATGACCCTCTCCTCCTCCTGCACGCTTGATCCAGGGACATCTATACAAACCCAATGGCAGATTCGGCGTCCCCCCAGGGACTTCTTGCCAGCGACTCCGAAGGCTTCTACCCGGCACATTATGCAATCTCGAGGGCGTCTCCAGGGTTTGGTGGAGATCTGTCCGCCGCCATCCCTCTGTTACTTCTGGAATAAAGAAGCGTTCACTTCCTCTTGGGCATCTTCTGCCTTGCAATATTAGCTCACAAAAAAACCTGACACCACAACATGGTTTCGACCCCGGGGAGCCCCCGGTCTGAAGCCGTCCCAGCCGCAGCCGCAGCCCCAACGGCATCCGCCCCCTTGGATGAAAAGAGAGATGTGACCACTACTACCGATCCAGATAGCCAACCAGCCCTCTCTCACTCCTCGGCCGAGCAGGATCAAACCCAGACCAATTGGTCCCAGTATACGCTCCCCAAGAGACCATGGCGACGACGGGTGACCGACTTTGGCAAGATCGTGGAAGCCCGGTATCGAGGCAATGGGCTACCCGAGGATCCTTACATCGTGCAGTGGTTGGACCATGACCCGGAGAATCCCATGAGCTACAGCATCTGGTTCAAGTGTGTCATGACCTTCCTCCTGGCCTTTATGACACTGTGCGTGTCGCTGGCCTCGTCAGCATATACTGGGGCCGCGGGGCTCCTCATCCCGGAGTTTCACTGCAGCGACGAGGTGTTCCTGCTCGGCTTGAGCTTGATGGTCTTGGGGTTCGCGGTAGGACCCTTGCTATGGGCACCACTTGCAGAGGCCGTCTCGCGACGGGACATCCTCCTGATCGCCCTGGCCTTCTATGTCATGTGGACCGCAGTGTGCGCCACGGCGCAGAACATCACGACCCTGATCGTCCTCCGCTTCCTCTGCGGCACATTTGGCTCAGCGGCCTTTGTCATCCCTGCGGGCCAGCTTTCCGACATGTGGGAGGCCAAATATCGCGGCGTGGCGCAGGCCGTGTTTTCTGCGGCTCCCTTCCTGGGTCCGACCATCGGCCCTACCATCGGAGGCTTCCTGAGTCCCGCGGCGGGCTGGCGATGGCTGTTTGGCTTTCTCGCGCTGTACGCGGCGATTCTGACCTTTTTGGGCGTCGTGTTTGTGCCCGAGACGTACGCGCCGGTCCTGCTGCGACGACGGGCGAGGCTGCTGTCCAAGGTGACGGGCAAGACGTACATGACCAAGATCGACATCGAGCAGCCGCTGGTGTTTAAGAACGTGGTCAAGCGGTCGCTGAGTCGGCCGTGGGCCCTGCTTTTCCGAGAGCCCATCGTGTTGCTTCTATCGGTATGTTTTTTCCTGCTTGTTTTTCACCTACATACCTTCCAGGTCGTATTCGAGAAAAGCTGACAACTTCTTTGTAGATCTACATGTCTGTCATCTACGGGACGCTGTACCTCTGCTTCGCGGCTTTTCCCATCATCTTCCAAAAAGGCTACGGCTGGAACGCGGGCGAGGAAGGCCTCGCGTTCCTGGGCATCATGCTGGGCAGCCTCATCGGCACGGCCCTCATCGTCTTGGACAACAAACGCTACGCGCGCATCCACGCCGCCCACGGCGGGTTCGCTCCTCCGGAGGCGCGTCTGCCACCCGTCATCGTCGGCGGCGTCGTGACCATCGTCGGCCTGGCGTGGTTCGCGGGCACGGCGGACCCGAGCATCCATTTCATCGTGCCGATATTGGCGAGCGTGCCTTTTGGGATTGGCTTTATGTTGATTTTCATGTGCTGCACAAATTATCTGTATGTTTACCTTACTTTTCCGCCTCTGATATACACAGCCACCCCAGTCTATCACCTATTACCTGCCACCTTGCACCTCCTCCATCTATCCTCCCTGCCTTCCCAAACCCCTCCCACCCTAGTACCAATTTACTAATTGTTCCGGAAAGAATCGACTCCTACGTCATCTACTCGGCCTCCGTGATGGCGGGCAACTCGATCCTGCGGTCGACCTTCGGCGCCGTCTTCCCCCTCTTCACCACGTACATGTACGACAGCCTGGGCCTGCACTGGGCGTCGGCGGTGCCCGGGTTCATCGCGCTCGCGTGCTTCCCCTTCCCCATCTTCTTCTACCGGTACGGCGCCAAGATCCGCCGGCGGTGCAAGTACTCGGCCGAGGCGGCGCGGTATCTCGACAGCCTGAAGAGTGATCTCGAGAGGCAGCGCAGTCGGGCGTCCAAGGCCGAGGCCGAGGCCGAGGCGGGGGTCGGGGACGCTGAGGTTGGGAAGGGCGGTGTGCTGGACCATCAGGGGAGGGTGAGCGTGGGAGTAGACGGCGATGAGAAGGAGATGGATCGGGATAGGGAGCACGAGCAGGAAGTCGACGTGGTCAGGCACGGTAGCGTCAACGTCAATGCCGCGTGAAGAACGAGTATGCTTCCCCGCTTCCGTCCTGGTCGTACATTTTTAGCGTGGTTGATCGGGCGTTTCTCTCCTGGACATTTATGGGTTTGGATACGCTGGCGCTGCGCAGCTGCAGGACTAATGCCATGGCGGTTCTTGGGGACATATGGTCCACACCTGTCAGCCTATACACCCTCTGCATCTAAGAGAATGGAAGACCAGGATAGATGGGTCCGGGACAAAATCTTATAGAGCTGCGTATCTTTGGGTGGGGAGATTTCAGACGCATATCTTGGTAATCAACAAGTATTTTTTGGCATGAGCTGGACAGCACCCAGAAGTAAAAGGCACATTTGCTTTATGAAAGTGGTCCGTCAGTCGCTGAGAAACATTCTCGCGACCCAGTCAATGGCACTTTGTTGCATTTCCGCCTTCATCTGCTGCTGTTTCTGCAGCTGATCCTGTCCTTCATGGATCTGAACACGCTCCTCTGCAAAGCTCTTCTCTCGGCCAAGAAAACAAGCACGCCGCATCAATTCAACCAACTCAAGTCCCTGCGCCCGCATCAGCGCTGCATGGCCCCTAGCAAGATCATCTGCTTCGGAGTTCGGCTGGTGCACATCTCGAACACTCGGAGGTGCCACGAAGACCCCCACATACGGCAAGGTGACGGATTCAGGGTTCCCCACGGCGGGCCAGCGCCTGAGGACTTTTCGACGGCGAGGCTGTGTCGTGGTCATCAATCCGAAACCGCTGTCCCCGTCAATCACAGGCCTGGATTCCTGCGAGTCATCAGTGGCAGGATCAACGGAATCATAATCTCCATAGCCATCGAGTTGATCCAGACTTGTGCCAGTGATCGACTGATCCGCTATTGTACTTGCTAGAGGCGTGTCCTTGCCCGGCGCGCGGAGGAATAGCATCGGACTGGCAAATGGATCAAAGTAAGCGGATGGTGTCTGAAACAAACTCGCTCGTAACCTGATCATCGCCTTGGCCGCAGCAATGACTGATTCCTTCTTTTCCCCATAGCGATGTGTGAGCTTCTGCTTCTGCCTCTTTTGTGAGGTCGAGGATGTCTCAACGGTCTGCAGCTGTTCAACGACGTCGTCCAGCCCGGTCCAGTCTGCCATTGGCTCTACCAATGCAAGACCGTGGATTTCATTCGGCTCCGTCAGAGCCAGCATTGTCGCGAGCGCGCCTCCGATGTTGCTCCCCAAGAGACATATCTTCGGCACCTCCGAATATCCCGCATTGAAGGCAGAGGTTGGAGAGGTGAGATAGTCGAATGCGGTCGCGACGTCGTGGACAGGGACCGGAAAGTATGTGGGCTCTTTCGGTGAAGATGTGGAATCTATGTAATTGCCTAGCCTATAGTTTATCGAGACGAGCGAGGTTGACGGTGGGAAGCTATTTCGCAGCTGTGCGAGGACGTCGATCGACGGGGTGTCCTTTCTCCCTATGGAGGGACCAGGAGGGAGGTGAACGAGTAGATTTCGTCGCCCATGCTCTTCTCTCGTTGTTCGGTTCGGAGAGAAGACACTACCACAGTTAACAACAGACGGCTGACTTGTCCACAGGCGTCACATACTCGACTTTGACACTCCCACTGAGTCCAACCGGCAGCTCGAGACTACGGTGTTTCCATGTCTGCGAGGTCGACTGCGACGCGAGGAGCCTTTTCTGATGGTAGTCGAAGCGGGGTATGCGCCCTTGCGCGGGCCGAAGAAAGGTGTTGAGGCCTCGACGGCAACAACATGAACTCATCACATGTCAGAAACTTTGCACGGTCTCCAAGCGCGAGCAGCACGATACAATTTCACTCGAATGCGGCGAGAGAAGACGGGAGACGCGTTTCGCGATAGCCGATGAGGAAGTGGGAGCCTCGTCGGCCGGGGTTTGTCCAATCATGTCACCGAGGCAAGACCAGGCTCGCCTGTCAGGAGACGCACTTGAAGTGGGCGCAAGGTACTTGTACTTGACCGTAATATTATACGGCGGACTAAAACATCCTGCCTCCGCAACACTTACCGCCAACTCCCCGGGCACCACCAGGATGTTATCGATGCCGTGGTGGCCGTGAAGGAATCGGTAACCATCGGCACTGACTCGATGCTGGTGGTGGTACTCGGTACATCAATGCTCCAGGTCAATCGCTGGCGCTTGCAGTCCCTCCTCTGATGTATAGACCATGAATTTCCTCATGTTCCTCATCCTTATGTGATCTGCTCAGTTGGCCGCTCCGAGTCTTAACCCCCAGTCTTCCACCAGACTTCACAATGGCCAAACCCGACAAATTCTACACCAAAGACTACATGTTGCGGCCAGGCATGTCATTTGCCCTTGATATTGAAGACCCTCGGCAGAGAGTGGAGGAATTCATGAACAGATACAAAAGGGAGCCCGTCGATGAAGTATGCTCTCACCCACAGGGACGATTCTTCGCGAAGGCGGATTCTGACAAACAGACCGACAGGGCTTCGAGGAATCTCTGATGACAAGAGACCTCAAAGTTGTTAGCGCGACGGGGCCGCCACATGTCGCGGCTGTCTTCGAGATGGAGATCCTCCCCGTGTACGGCACCCGTATGGGCAATGCTTCGGGTGCCGCCATCAGCCTCATCCATGATGTTTGTACAACGATGGCCATGGCGCCTCTGGCGCGGAAAGACTTTTGGCATTTCGGCGGGGTGTCTAGAGTCCTTAGTGTCACCTACTTGAGGCCGACAAAGGTGGGCACCAACGTGTTGATTGAATGCGAAGTTCTGCAGGTGGGAGCCCGATTCGGTACGTACCGCGGTATGGGTTTGGAATGAGAAACTGATGTTCAAAATTCAGCGACGATACGAGGGGTCATGAGGGACAAAGCCACGGGCGACATCCTCTCCGTCTGCGAGCACAACAAGGCCAGCATCATCTTTCGCGACAAGCCCAAGATTTGAATACAGAAGAAGCCGATCACCGCGGGTATTCCACTCCGTCGCCTAGGAGACTTCTGGATATATCAGTCAACATCTCTGCCGATTGTCAATATCAGCGATCAATTTGTTGCCCGGAAGTGCCACGCGACAAAGGAGAGCATTTTCTATTCTCGTCCGGCTCCAGTCAGCCACATTGACGTCGATTCAGCTAGGATGTATCTGATAGTTTAACATGTGGTGCCAGCAAACTCTTCGGCGAATCTGGTCTAAGCCGCGCAGAAACTTCCCGCCACTGTTCAGCCACTGACACGCCACAAACATCCGCGATACGAGTTGCCCAAGACCACTTGACAAGCTTCATGGATTTCATTGGTGGAAGCCACAACACCACTCCAGGGGAAAGCGAGCCATGATCTCATCCCGCTCGGGCGTTTCTCTGCCAGGGAACTCGTCGAAATCCCAACCAACGTGGGATTCTGCTTTCCGCAAAGGTTGGCCAGGAGTATTTTATAGATAATGCTTTTCCTTCTCGTTCATATTCGTCCTCGATTTCTTCTATGACTTTGGTCTTCTTCCACATCGATTTAATCTTATAGAATTCATTATAATATTCTTTGGACATTTCTCCCACCTTACTGTTCGCAATGGGCGCCACTCCCGAGAACTACTGCATGCTGCAGGGTTTCGAATGGAACGTCCCTGCCGACCAGAAACATTGGCTTCGGTTGCAGAACGCGCTGCAAGACCTGAAGAACATCGGGATAGACAACGTCTGGCTCCCGCCTGCGTGCAAAGGACAGGGCGGCGACCAGGCCAATGGCTACGACATTTACGACTTGTATGATGTCGGCGAGTTTGAGCAGAAGGGATCCAAATCTACCAAGTGGGGTTCCAGAGAGGACCTGGATCAGTTGAGCAAGAAAGCGCAAGAGCTGGGGATTGGTCTGTACTTCGACGCGGTGCTGAACCACAAGGCTGGCGCGGACCGGAAGGAGAAATGCAGGGTCGTCGAGGTGGATCAGAGTGGTAAGTCCTGAATCATAACCATGTTGACAAGTTCTCTTAGGCTGATTAGTGTCGCAGATCGAAACAAGGACATTGGGGAGCCGTTCGAGATGGAGGCCTGGCTGGGCTTTGACTTCCCCGGGCGCGGCGACAAGTACTCGGCGCAAAAGTACCACTGGGAGCATTTCTCGGGGACGGACTACGACGCAGCGACCGAAAAGACTGGCATCTTCCGCATCCTCGGCGACAACAAGCACTGGTCCCGTTCCGTGGGAGACGAGGCAGGCAACGCCGACTTTCTCATGTTTGCCGACCTCGACTACAGCCACCCAGAGGTGGCCAGGGATGTCATCCACTGGAGTGAATGGGTGGTCGACGAATTCAAGCTGAAGGGGTTCCGCTTCGACGCCTGCCAGCACTTCTCGGAGCGTTTCACAAACGACCTGGTGAAAAACCTGGAGGACAAGTTCGGCAAGGGCCAGTTGTTCCTGGTCGGGGAGTATTGGAGCGGCGACACGCAGGAAATGCTCGAGTGGCTGAACAACATGCACCACCCCTTCACCCTGTACGACTCGCCGCTGGTGTATTCCTTCTCACAAATCTCCAAGACCGAGAAGGCAGATCTCCGAAAAGTGTTCGATAATAGCCTGGTGAAAGCCAAGCCCGAAAGCGCGGTGACGGTGGTGATGAACCACGACACGCAGCCAGGGCAGACGGTGGAGACTCCCATCGAAGGATTCTTCAAGCCGATCGCCTACGCTCTGATCTTGTTGAGGAGAGAGGGTTACCCGTGCGTCTTCTACGGCGATCTCTACGGCATGAAGGGCAAGCAGGCCGAGCCACCGGCGTGTGGTGGGAAACTGCCTCAGCTCGTGCTGGCCCGGAAGCTCTTCGCCTACGGAGATCAGGACGACTATTTCGACGAAGATCCGAATTGTCTCGGATTCGTGCGCAGGGGCACCGAGGACAGGAAGGCCGGCCTTGCCTGCGTCATGTCGAATGCCGACCCGAAGACAAAGCGGATGTTCGTGGGCGAGGAGCACTCGGGAGAAGTATGGACTGATGTGCTGGGTTGGCAGAATGAAGAGGTCACGATAGGCGAGGATGGCTTTGGGGAGTTCATGTGTCCTGGCACGAGTGTGAGTGTGTGGGTGAGCAAGGACGCCGAGGGCAGAGACAGGATGGACCAGCTGGACTTTGACGCCGACATTTACGCCAAAGCGTAGACAGGACCCTGTGTCCAAGGTGATTGGGATATAACGACATTACACAGGCTTTTGGCGTGGCAGGATATGGACTGAAAGGAGCGGACAGCTATAGAACTTTTTTTTTCTTTTGGAAAATCGGTGGGAAGGCAGAAAGAAAGCCATGGGTATCACGAGACTTGCGTTTCAATGTGCAGCCTGATGCTACGATATCCAGTCATTATCACCGTCGTCGTGATCCTCATCCTCATCGCCAGTCACGGCGAGATGGATCAAAGGGTGGGTCGGTGGAAGAGCTGAATCAAGGTCAACGAGCTATTCGATACCAGGCTAAGCTCCTCTTGCAACATCACTTCAAGCGAGATACCCCCTCGTCCATTGATACTCCAAGATCCTCCTATACAATTTCCCTCCAATTTGTTGAAGGCGGTCAGGCGGCCAGTCAAGTCAGGCCAGACACATCCATCTCCTCCACTTCCCTTACCTACTTACCTACCAGCCTACCTGGGTACCTACCTATCCTAGATAATGGATACCATCGACATCCACCTAGCTGAATACCTAGCTACTGGGCGCCTAGACGCCTATGTAGACACCTGACTAGATCCCTAAGTAGCTGGGACGCTAACTAGTAGATCAGATACATACCCGCTCGCAGTGTGGTGCGGTGCGGTACGTCGTACTCGTTCCAGAGCGCATTCGTTCTTCGGCGTCCTCCTCCTCCGCGTGGTTGTTTTTTTAAACAGCGAAAACCTCCTGAACGAGTCGTGTCATTCAAGTCGTGTCGTGTCAGGCACGCAGCGCCAGAATCAGAGCCGGAGAGTGTTGGAAGCCTGATGTGAGGCGCACGCACGCATACTCTGTCAATCACAGGACGTCGTCTGCACAGGTACAGACACAGATACAGACACAGATGATCATTCAGCCCTCGGTTCAGGGTGTGGGTATTCTATCTGTATTCCATCTGAGATGCACGCATCATATCTGGATGTCTGTATGGCCACGGCTACTGCTACTGCTACGGCGAGGTCGGGGAGAGGCAGCCCGACGCGCTCTTCGTTGCGGCACTGGAAATGGATATAATGAGACAAACAGCACTCTGCATCGAGAGTGAGCCTGTTCTCTGCGAGATACTCTCAGATATTCTACAGAGACAAGTCATAGCTATCTTTAACGACGATAATGGATACTCGCCTCATCATCACAGTGGCCGCGGTATGCTTCATCCTGGTTCGACTGCTGTCTCTCGGCAAGCGAAGCCCGAAAATGCCTCCAGGTACTAAAGTACCCTCTCCTGGTAGATTTAATGGGGGTCTGACAAAGAGGAAAAAGGCCCGCCGACGCTGCCCATCATAGGAAACCTCCATCAAATGCCCAAGAAGGATACCCACCTACAATATCAGAAATGGGCGCAAGAGTGTAAGACCCTGGAATTGCCTTCTGAAGTTGTCATGCCTGGTAGAGCACACGCACATGAATTGACATGGTCTCAGACGGACCGATCTTCTCCCTGAAACTGGGGACTCAGGATGTCGTTGTCCTCGCAAGTGGCGACATGATCAAGCGCCTCGTGGACAAGCGTAGCAGTAACTATGCAGACCGACCTGCGCTGTTCATGCAGGACATCTTCGAGCACTCGCGGATCATCATGCGAGGTTACGACGACCTGTGGAAAGTCGAGCGGAAACTCTACCACCAGTTCCTCAACAGCACAAAAGCCGCCCGGTACACGCCGTACCAGGACCTGGAGACGAAGCAGCTCTGCTTCGACCTCCTCCAGCGTCCCGACGACTTTGAGGCGCTCATCACGAGGACAACGCTGAGCGCGGCCACCAGCATGGCGTACGGGTTTCGCGTGACGGACCCGAACAACCCCGTCATGAAGGAACTCCTCCACAACGCACACGGGTTCTTCACCATGGTCCACAAGAGCCAGTTGCTAGACTGGTACCCTCAGCTGCGCTGGATCGTGCGCCGGGTCCCGTCGTTCCTCTATCCAATGTATCGGAACGCAAAGGAGATTTTCCGTCGAGAGAAGATCCAGTTCCACCAGCTGCTGCACGATGTTCGCAACAACCCACTACCAAGTATAGATCCTCAGCGCTGTTGCTTCTTCGGACAATAACAAAAAGCTGACTCGTCCTGCACCGACAGGTTTCGCGTCAGATATACTTCGAGCGCAAGAGTCTTGGGCGGGAAAGCCAGAAGGGGCCATCCTGACGGACCATGCCGCAGCATATATCGCTGGGATTGCCATGGAGGGGGCGACAGACACGCAGAGCAACCAGCTAGCGGGATTCATCAAGGTAAGTATGGACTCGGAAGTGTTGTGTTACAGCCGTCGTCACAGCTGACTCCTCAACCAACCTCCACAAGGCCATGATGCTGTACCCTGATGTCCAGAAGAAAGCGCGTGCGCAACTGGACGACGTCGTCGGGACCGATCGACTACCTCAAGTCAGCGATCTCGCCAATCTGCCGTACATTCGGCAAGTTATGAAAGAAGTTGTCCGCTGTACGTCTCCTCCTACCCACCATCCATCCATCCATCCCTCCATCTCCTTGTCCACACCCCAAAACAAGACGTGAGCAACGGGCTAACTTGGCCACAAACAGGGATGCCAACCACCGTTGCCGGAGCGATCCCGCACGCCGCGCGAAACCAGGACGAAATCGACGGATACATCATCCCGCAAGGAGCCACGATCGTGCTGGCCGTGTGGGCAGCCAACAACGACCCGACGCTGTTCCCCCAGCCGCGCGTGTTCGACCCGTCGCGCCAGGACCCGGGCCTGTCCATGGGCGAGGCCGCGCTGGCCAGCGACGTGCGCGACCGCGACCACTGGACGTTCGGGGCCGGTCGGCGCATCTGCCCGGGCATCCACGTCGCCGAGGGCACCATGATGCTCAGCATGGCGCGGATTTTGTGGGGGTTCGAGATTTCCAGGGCGAGGGACGGGAATGGGCGTGAGATCGAGGTCGCGCCGGACGAGCTGACGCAGTCGATTGCCGCGAGGCCATTGCCTTTCAAGTTGAGTGTTTCTTTCTTCCCTTTTCTTTTCCTCCTACCTAGCCCGATGGTCCTCCTTCATCCGCCTATCTCGTTCCTCATCGACCTTGTCCATGTCCATGAGTTGAGTGAGAGACACGACAAGTGGAGTGTCTTGCCTTTGCTGACTGTGCTACACGGTAATTTAGATGCGACATCCGAGTCAGAAGTGACAAGCACGCAGATATCGTCCGCAAAGCCTGGGACGAGGCACAGCACGTGCTGGACAACGCGGGCAATTATCGCGTCAATGTGCTGTGAATGCCTTTTGTGTATGGACGAAGCCGATGATGGATGATGGATTGTAGATCATGTCCCTACCTACGTACCTACCTTCGTACCATCTTGCTCATGGGATTGGAACATGGCATCCTCCCCCGCTTTCAAGTCACTTGCCCATGTCTGCGATACCACCCAACTCGCCAAACACGTCAGAAGAGGGGAGAGGAGTCACTATGTACATATCCGTCCACGTACGTCAACGTCCTGCACGTTGCCCCGCTTCCCGCTTTCCCACTTTTTCCTCGCGTGAGTTGGGTTGATTTGAGCCGGGGAGAGCAGTGAGATCCGGAGTTGTGAGCTGCAAGACGAAACGGAAAAAATTAATAAATAGACTCTCTGAGAATATCGTATTGGTGTGGGAAGACAGAAGGAAGAGTCGCACGTATCTCAAAAACGAGGGGTAAAAGACTCACTGGAAAGTAGTACGAGGCTATTAATACCAAGACAAGGCTGCCAGTAAAAAGGGGCAGGCGGTCAACCACGCATCAACATATACATATATACAAATGATCCGTTGGTCCGACACCGATCCCACAATCTCACAGTTCAACGCAGCCTCTCAAAGTCCATAATTCATTTCTTTATTGTTCATCCTGGTTCATTATCTCTCTGATAAGAACATATAACATATACCCGGTGTATATATAGCCCCTCCTGAGCGCCACCATGAAAGTCGTCCGCGTGGTCGACTACCACAAACCGCTCGAGCTGTCCGAGGCGCCCGAACCCCAAATCACGTCGCCTCTCGATGTGATTGTCAAAATCGGCGCCGCCGGGGTGTGTCGCACCGACATCCACATCCTCGAGGGGCAGTGGGCCGACAAGTCCGGGGTGAAACTGCCGTACACGATCGGGCACGAGAACGCCGGCTGGGTGCACGCCAAGGGGGAGGCCGTGACGGGGGACCTCGAGGTCGGGGACAAGGTGATCCTGCACCCGCTGGTGACCTGCGGATTGTGCCGCGCGTGCCGCTCCGGCGACGATGTGCACTGCGAGAACTCGGCCTTCCCGGGAATCGACGCCGACGGCGGCTACGCAGAGTATCTGAAGACGACGGCGCGCAGCGTCATCAAGCTGGATCCGAAGCTCGAGCCCGCCGACGTGGCGGCCCTGGCCGACGCGGGCTTGACGGCGTATCACGCCTGCGCCAAAGCCGCGCGGGCTCTGAGACCCGGCACCTTCGTCGTCTTGATCGGTGCAGGCGGCCTGGGCCATATCGGGATCCAGGTCATGAAGGCCATCAGCGCTGCCACGGTCGTCGTGGTCGACAGGAACGCGGATGCTTTGGGGCTGGCGAAGAAATTGGGCGCTGACCATGTCGTCCAGGCGGGAAACGAAGACGGCTTTGTCAAAGAGGTCCTGTCTCTGACGGGAGGGAAAGGTGCGGAGGCCGTGATTGACTTCGTCGCCGAAGGCGGGTCAACCGCTACCGGGGTGCGCATGCTCCGTCGAGCAGGAAACTACTGTAAGTCTCTCCCTGTGTCTCCTTATCCTCTTCCACCATACAATGAGATTCTCCATTGCACCCTCCTTCTTGCGTGCAATAGACCGCTGAGCGACAAAACAGACATTGTCGGATACGGAGAAAACATCAATGTCCCCACCATCGACATCATCTCGACCGAGATCAATTTCATCGGCAACTTGGTCGGGTCGTACAATGACCTGGCCGAGTTGATGGTGTTGGCCGCCCAGGGCAAGGTGGTTCTGCACACGTCCATCTATAAGCTGGAGGACTTTCAGAAAGCCATTGACGATCTTTCGGCGGGAAAGGTGAGGGGGAGAGCTATTCTGGTGCCCTGAAAAGAGGACGACGTTACAGATGGGGTGGGTGTGATGTATGCCAGGTTTCGAGCAACCGCATTTTTAATGCAGTTATGGTTGTGGCATGTTTATTATAGCGCTCGTGAGTCTGCGCTACAAGATCAGAGGGTCTGGAAATGCACAGCATGATCGGATTTCCGGGTGTCGCTAGAAGGTGTTACATAACCATAAGAGAATGACGGTTGCCATTTGGAATGGTATGAGGTTCATGAAGCAAACTTTAGGTGGAGGGAGATATATTAGATACTACCTAGTCCAAAAGCAGTTAGCTAGTCGCATTACCTTCCCGGGGCAGCACCACGCGGGGAGCAACTCAATTCGGTACTTGTACAGAGGACTGAGCAACATGAAAGTTGATACATAAACCCAACACTGATTCCCAACACCGTTACTACCTCAGCAAGCAACACCTTCTCGTTACTCAGCTACCGCTATTTCAATCCCTCTTAGAGACAAACCCCTCAAAATGGATCGAACCACCACCTTCGCGCCCGCAAAACAGTCCCTACCGCGCCCCTCCTCCGTCGCGTCCACAAACACCACCTCGACCAACAAAACCCGGCAGTACGCCCACCTGCACGCGCAACTGGCCCAGCTCAACGCGCACCTGGCCGACACGGAGAACCTGCTGAGGATGACGGCCGTGCAGGCCCAGGACATGCGGTTCTTGGGAGGCTACGTCGGGGCGTTGTTCATGGGCAGCGCCAAAGTTCTGGGGGAGGAGAGTGTGCAGGGCAGAGGAAAGAAGGAGGATGAAGGCGGAGATGGGCAAAAGACTCGTGACCACGTGGTTTAAATGAGGCGGAACAACAAGAACCAACCTCGACGGCCAGACCACACTTCTCGCTTACGGGAATTCCCTCCGTGACGCGACCAATTCCAGCGGATCAAGACCTGGAGGACAGTTGAACCTGGCTGTTTCACGGCATGAGGACATGGTTGTTTCTCTTATCCAAGATCCTCACACTTGGGTGTCGCTACGTACCGCTGCGCACCACTCGAATACAACACATCACTATTGTCGCTCTTTTGACGTTATACTAGAGTACGATCAGCCTCTGGTTTCCACCCATCGTCGCCCTCAATCTGTGCGATCTCTGGTCCGTGTTTGTTCTCCTGGCTCACCAATATTTGGAATTTGCAGAAGTAGTCAAACCTCGCAGCGCTGTTCGACTCGTTCGTCGCTTCGATCTCGAGTGAATGAGACGGCAAAGAGGGGGATTGGCGCCTTCCACAACCATCCAATCCAGCTGACCCAATCCTCTTTCAAGGATGTATCTATCAGTCATCCTTCATCAACGATGCAGATGCAACGTCTGCATTCAAGCCACAACCAATCTCGGATCGGTGCTTGTCACGGATCAGACTGGCCGCCGTCCCAGGTAGTAATCTTTTGAGATCAGGAACCATATCACTCCGTCACGCTGTCATCGTGGAGGCTGCCGAGGATAAGATTCGGAGAAGAATCCAACATGGCGGACAATCTCTCCGCACGTCGTCTTCCGGCCACCCATCCCATGAACTCCGAATAACTCTGCGGCAACACACTCACATCTGCCGGTGAGAAGAAGGTATAAAAGAATGTCCCTGTGGACTTTCTTTCTTGGTCCTGGTGTTCAACAGGCCGGACGTGTGTCCGCACCATTACTTGAATGCGAGTACCGCCGCCGGGGTGAGGTTCCGTAAACGAAACACCTGCCGCGACATAGAGCACTGAACCAACGGGAACAGGCTCTTCGAATGTGCTGGGATCCAGGTTCAAGAACCGTGGACGGGTATGCGAGAAAGAGGCTGCACAGGTGAAAGCCAGTTCAAACGTTTGTTTGAGCAAAAAGCCTCCAAAGATCATGAAATGATGACGGTTCCTGTACTGCGGCATCATGATCTGGGTGCTGTGGATGGTACTCTTAGACATGGCCACTACGTTGGACGGCTGGTTTTTCGGGTTGTTGCGGTCAGCATATGCAAGGGAGTCGGTCCACATTTTGTGGATTAGAGCCGACTCATCCGCATCAGGCGGCTTGGTCAAGATATGTGCAGATCTCATGGTCTTCTTGTTTCTGTAATTCTCCTCGCCCTTAGCGAAAAGCGCCTTCTCGGCAGGAGTCTTGACTTCCAAGGGAGCGATATTCATGGGTTTTTTGGTCCTGGGATCCAGGGCCACCATAGTGAAGGCACAGGTCATAAAGACATCCTCTGGTGCAACCTGACGACCTGGAGCTGGAGCTTTGGCGATCTGCAAGGTCACTTCCATACTGCTCCGTCCGGTAGCGTACGTCACTTGTCCACTGAGCTCCAGGTCACAAATCTCTCGAATGGGATTCTTGATAGTAATCCTATCCACAGCTGCAGTCACATTGCTTGCCCCTTCCCCAGTGTGTTTGTAGGCCACCACACCAGCTAGGGCATCCAGGTCCATGAGCAAGGTACCAATGCGGATTTGGCCCGTATAGTTTGCGTAGGTATCGAGCAGCCAGGGATCTTGCTACAGGATGGCACGTCAACCGACTGCACGGGGATATCACATCATGCGCATGGAAGGCAACTAACAGAGAGAGGCAGGACAAGGCTGACATAGCTGTCCGACATTTTCTTGGGGGTCAGGTCGACTTTGGCACTCTCCACGACCGGCGTCTGATTGTTGTTCTCCGCCTCTTTTCTTTCCCGAAGCGCCTCGATCCAGGGTGTTCGGACCCGCATCTCTGTGAGAGCTTTGTAGACCCCGTCTGTACGAGCTGCCACGGTAGAGTGGAAGGGTCGAGTGAGGGCATGTCTCCCCGGGGTTACCCTCTGGGTGGTCTGGCGAACGAACCCTGTCCGGGCGAGATAGAGGAAGAAACGTCGCGCCATTGGCGGAGGAGAGGTAGCAATGCGACAAGTTGGGACTCGCATGTCGGGTGGTTATAAGAAGTGAGTCATGTTGGTGGCAACGTGGTCGTAATTGCTTTATAAGGTAGGAGGTGGTGGGCATTCACCCACTCCAGCATTGACTGCGCATATTATTGCCATCACAGAGTCGAGACTGAATGACGGAGTTTGTGCTCAGCATCAGTCAAAAGGACGCAGTCGGAAAAACCAATCGCCGATGCCGGAGGGATGCACCGACTTCGCCTTCACACTGAACAGTGTTTTTCTCCCTTCACACGCACAACAGCTGGTCCTTCATGATGTATGAGAAGGTCATTGAGCTGGGCAGAAGTGTCTTTGAGCACCGAAAATCCCATGTTCACTTACTAACTACGACAAGTACCAAGGTGACCTGTGAGGATGCTTCTCAAGCCAGTTTGATCTCCGATAAACGAGCCCGTCCCTCTCGTCTGTGGCTTCCTAGGGCAAGGTCATTTCTTTTATCTCTTCAGTGTTCTTTTGCTGGTGATTTGGATCTTGGTTCACTCGTCTTGAATGATGCTAACGCAAGCATTGCCGATCTTGTTGAAGACGCTGAGGTAAGCCTCATATCAAGGCGATCAATCTCTTGCGGTGTGCTCATAATCCACATAGCTGTGGACGCAGCTCGGATACCAGGCATCTCTGACGCGGTCGACCTGCAGAGGTAGTATCGAGACTGAGAGCGTCCTGGAATTGGACTTCAAGCTTTGTGTATGGCACTATCAACCTGCTGCACTGATACTAACCCAGCCCCTCAGAGTCAGAGGAATTTCGATTACCATTCATCCTTTCCCGTTGGAATTGCCCCGATAGAGTTGGATTCGGTGCGAATGCATCTACGTTTTACAGGCGGGAATCCACTCAGACAAGGGAATGGTCCAGTTGTTTGCCATCAGGATTCTCCTTTGAGTAGCCATCGCGCGGGCGAGAGTATACCCAACAGGCGGAAGAGGTCTAGCGTACGACTGCACCCCATGTCAACGAGAAGTATCACAGCCAAGTTGTCCTCGTCAAATGAACAAGCGTCAATAAAGGAGGTGTGCGACCAGCGACCATTATTGGGTGGAGGTGTCCTGTTTGCCCTACTTGACGCGGGCGTGCGTGGCAGCATATGCTCCAAACCCCTCCGCGTGTCTGCAGGCGTAAAATGCCTAACTGATCAGAACACATTCTCGCTGTGCGACTTTGCCCCAACAATATTTGTACCAAATTACGTCCAACGGTTTGAAGAGCAGGCCAGATTCATTCCGACCATTTCCAAATGCTTGGAGACTTTCCTCGGATTTTCGGAGCCTGGTGATCCACAACAGCAGTTCGAAGGATCCGTTGACTTGGGGTCTGGCCCTCACAGGGGAGAAAATTCTGCAGGGACCCTGCAGAAGGATCTCTGGTTCAGTCTCATGAAGGGCCTGCGATATCACGAACCTGCTCGAAGACTCCGACCTCTGCAGCTTCCAAGCAATAAATCACCTGAATCGATGCTAGATTGGGATCATCTTCTAAATATACCATGGCACGCCGAGGTGGAAGCGAGAGATAGATGGAATCCCGAGCCAGATTCGGACGAACAAGCCATCAACCAAGACGACGATGTCGATTTGTTCCTCGAATGTGGGTTTCGGGCGAATATATGTGGGAGCTACGTCGACCCGGTGACAGCAGAAGGTATCAATGGCGGTCGCAGTGGTGCACCAAATGCGTTGCATGATGTGGAACTCACAGGCGGTGGGCAGGGCCACGACGAAACATACGACTGCCCGATTGAACCCAACAGGGCTGCCCGTAGGCTACCTAGCCAAAACAGAAAGTACTCGGCCAGCCTGTCAGGGATAAGTGATGTGTCAATGCTCCTGGACTGCGAAGGACCTATAGACGGAAGGCGCATAATCAGGCAGTCAGGGGCCATTGGTGGACCAAGCTGGCTTACTCAGAATGTCATCCGCATGCATCCGCTGAGGCAGCAACGCCATGGCATTCATCAAGTGGACCACGAAAACAGCCCATCCAGAAGGGACAGCTTATATGAGACGCCTGGCCTCGGCTGGTGGTCAGATACGAGCGATGCAAGCGAAATGCTTCTCGAAGACCGTCGTGACTACTATACAAACCCACATCTAGCCGACTTCTGCTCATCACCTCTTCTCTTCAGCCAGGAAGGTTGTTTACACGATTATCTCGACCTACCATACGACGGAAGCCAGGAGGATCTTGTTGGTGGCAGGACGACCCCCATGTCAACAAGCCAGTCCAGCGAACAATCGAACATCTCTCTAGCGGAGGTCCTTGGCAACGACCATTTATTGTGGCATATGTGGAAAAGGCGTGCAAGCGTGGCCCCTCGAGGGGAGGAAGACATTGTGGACATGAAAACACTGTATGCCACGGATCCAGACATGAAGTTGTTCAGTGCAAGATGGGACCTTGACCCTAGCGACATCTGTTCTGGGAGCAACGAAGACCCCATGCTACACGATGCGTTGGAAGGCCGATCATCGCCTCGAGACAAAGCTCACTCACCAATGACACCCAATTCGGAAAGGCGATCGTACTTCACTCCAACACGGTCCTCGTCATCTTCAACCTATGTTGGGCGATCAAGTGCCGACCCCAAGCGACGGTCAAGTCTGATCAAGCGGTTTACTTGGGGAGGGCGGCAGACCAACGCCGACACAAGTACTCTGGATGTCGGCAAGTTGGAGCAAAGGACAATGGAAGTCAAAAGACGGAAAACTATGGACGACTATGACATGATGGACAGAGAGGCCAGCAACGATGACTCTAGCGACATGCTGTTTTGAAAGCGAGGTTCCGCGTGCCATACACTTTTTCGGGCGTTCAAAATAGCGGAAAGGCCAAGATCAAAGGACAAACGAGACTTGGGAAGGGCATCTGGGCGTTTTTGATTTCTTCGGCAACCTCCTCAGTGGATCTGAAGGACGGCTTTTTGCAACATGCATGGGCAGAACAATGCTATACCTCGAGAAGGCAAGCAGTCAAAAGTGGCGGCTCTGGGAAAGGCACACATTGTGCTGGATGTACTAACACTAATAATGACCAACAGAAAATGTTTCCAACCTGTATATAGTCTATACCCGTAATGCATGAGAACATCCGCATGCGACATGATCACATACCTGGCATGCCTGTGTGGATGAACCCCAGGGAATTTGCAACCCTAAGGGTACCAGAGACACATACCAAGCGAGCGAGCCACCTGTGCCCGTGTCTTTTGCAGTAAACGGGCATCAAACAGCGTCATGGCGTCGGCCAAGGGGCCAGTAGCAGGTGGTCAGGGAGTCCCCACCCCTAGAATGCCATGCGCCCAAGGTCGGCAAAGGGCTCCCCAGCTGTGTTCATTAGGCTAGAGTCCCCCCCAAGGTCCCCACCGATGGCCGCTAAAATTTTCCAACACGACATCATCAGCCGTCATGCCTCCTCACGCTCAACGCCCAGCAGCTTCCCATCCCATGCACATCACCAGGTTTTGGATTGAACCACACCACAATCTGCATATGCTACGCTACGTTACCTGAATTTCCTAGCCTACCCTCCTGACCTCTCTGCCTCTTACTGGCTCCGGCCCCTCGTTGACAACTGGAAGCTTTTTGCAACGCAGTTGGCCCCCGTGCCCCTCACTGGTCTTCTGTTCCTGGCATTTATGCCATCTGCAAAGCAGGCTTCTCCTCAACCTGCTCAGGAAGAAGTCCAGCAGCCGACCTTATGGCAGAAGAGTCTTAGTTGGATTCCTGGTACTCGACAGTTCAGAACACGAGCCAAACTTCTCTCCGACTCACGCGTACCTCTCCTTTACTTCGTCTCCGGCCTGGTCCTCGTTGTCGTTCTGCTCATTCAGTTTCTCACGTCAAGTGACGTCCAGCCGCGCCTTTGGGCTCCTGCTCCCTCTCCTGCGTCTTCACCTGCTCCTGCTCCTCCATATCCGAACCGAGATCCTCTGAGTCCGTTTGGTGACAGTGTCTACCGTCAAGAGGCGTACTTTGACTTGTTGGAACCGGGCACTCAGTGCAGACCGAAGTCTCCTTTCACTTCAGATCTCCCCGTTACACACGCATTGACCAATATGGCGCTGGAGGCAGAGGCCAAGCGCCTGGTTGCACAATTTGAGTACACGGCCGAGGATGTGAACAAAGGTGTGAAAGAGTTCATTAGGGAGATGGAAGAGGGCCTGGAAAAGCAGGGGACCTCAATCAGTCAAATCCCAACTTACGTCACATCTGTTCCCAATGGCACTGAAAAGGTAGGGAGAGAAGCCATATTGCGATTCGACTAACAGCAGTAGGGCGTCTATCTGGCCGTGGACTTGGGCGGTACCAACTTCCGAGTCTGCTCAATCACGCTACATGGCAACCAGTCCTTCTCGTTGCAGCAATCCAAAGTCGCCGTTCCGCGGGCTCTGATGGAAGCAAAGACGGCCCATGAATTATTCTCTTTCCTCGCCAAACAGATCGAGTCCTTCCTGAAGACACACCACACGGACCACTTTGAGTCACACCGGAAGAAACCTGGCGAGGTCGACTTTTTTGATCTAGGTTTCACTTTCAGCTTTCCTGTCAATCAAGTGGGCATCAACAAGGGTAAATTGATGCGGTGGACAAAAGGTTTCAACATCGATGAAGCTATAGGACAAGACGTTTGTGACCTGCTGCAAAAAGAAATCGACGCATTGAATCTCCCGGTGCGAGTGGCCGCTCTCGTGAACGACACCGTCGGCACTCTGATGGCCAGGTCGTACACTTCTCCGGGCAAGACAAGTACATTGATCGGTGCTATCTTCGGTACCGGGACCAATGGCGCCTATGTTGAGAAATTGGACAGGGTCAAGAAGATGAAGGCAATAGACGAAGCAGAGGGCGGTGTTGCGAATTATGACTCGTCTACTGGGCTGATGGTCATCAACACCGAATGGGGTAGTTTCGACAATGCTTTGTCGGTCCTGCCTAATACTCCATACGACGTTGACCTGGATCGCGAGTCGGTAAACCCCGGCATTCAAATGTTTGAGAAGCGCGTGTCAGGAATGTTTCTCGGAGAAATCCTGCGGCGAGCGCTGCTAAGTCTCTACCAGCATCCTGATGCGGGAGTGGCCTTGTTCAAAGATGTGACCTCACACGACAATGATATTAGGAGTACAACCACAGTGGCTGAGGACAGTCCCCTATTTAAGATATGGGGTATCGATACCTCGTTCCTGTCCATTGTTGAGGAAGACCAATCGGACCATCTGCGTATCACCAAGCAGACACTCGAAAAGGAGTTGAAGGTAGAGGCTGCTTCAACCGAAGACTGTGTTGCGGTCAAGATGCTCGTGCACGCGATCGGGAAACGTGCGGCGAGACTAAGCGCCGTCGCCCTGGCTGGAGTCATCATTTCCACGAACAAGCTACAAGAAGACGAGATAGTCGATGTGGGTGTGGATGGGAGCTTGGTGGAGTATTATCCAGGCTTCGAGGAGTACATTCGCGAGGCATTCAGGGAGATTGAAGGTATTGGAGAGGATGAGAAGCGCATCAGGATCGGGCTTGCGAAGGATGGCAGCGGCTTAGGCGCAGCACTGATTGCGCTAGTGGCTCATAATGCCGACCAGCCCTTGTAGAATCAAATACATCAGACAGCCGAGGGCGGATAGGCACTTGTATAATTGAGGCTCTGCATCGTCATGCTTCGTATTCATAGAAGAAATGGTCCGGTGACGATGGTCAGTGAATCGCAATGCATTTGATTCCTGTGACCTGAGCGTGAAGTTCAAAACTCGAGGTCGAGTCACTCGGTGGCTAAAATGTCCGCAGTTGAGAAATTTGGACGGACACTCTCGCACGATCATCATTCACCGGCAATTATTCAGTCGAAACCAGCACCACTCAGCCACAACTCCCATATAGTTTTCCCGTTGAATCGAAACGAAAATCCATTGACGCATGCGGATTGCTGCTCGCTGAGATCAATACAGCATGAGCGGTGACTTGCAGCCATGGGCGCTACCACGCCTTGGCCGCTTGTTGCCTCTCGATGATGACTCGCTCAAGGAAGTGATTGCCTACTCCTTGACCTTGTCTAAAGACGCCGCCGCCGAACACCTGAAGAACCTGCTTGGTGACTCTCCACAGGCCCTCGAGTTTATCTCGTCGTTCAACGCGCGACGAGGCAACGCGCAGTCCCCAGCGGCCGCCGTGGAGTCATCTGGGGTGCCGAAAGCACAGAAGAAAGGTCCCAAAAAGGGCAAACCTCCCCTCCACGCTGCAGGCCCGGTACGTCGCCCGGAAGGATATGGGGATGTCGCAGGTGGTTACACGAAACAGTACGAAAGCGATACCGATTTCGCCACGACTCACAGTCGACCGATCTCAAGAGACAAAAATGTGCCGTCAATGTCCTCGACACCCGATGCTCTGCAGGTGCCCCAAACAACATCTGGAGGGCGTACTTCCGGTTCTTCGGCTGCCTCTCGAGACACGTCACCAGGGAGGCACCCTCAGAAACTCCCTCCCTCGGCATCGGGCAACTTGATATCCGATTTCGGATTTGCAAACGTTCGTTCCAAACAATCTAAGAAGCCCGCGCATACGGGTCACTCTCAACCACAGTCTGGCACTTCTACGCCGCACAGGGGTGGTGCTACGACAACCACCTCGAGTGTTGCGGACCTCACTGCCGCAATCGCGGCACTGGAGCTTTCTACGAATCCAACCCTGTCCACGCAAAGGCGAAAATGCCCTTGCAATGCTTCAATCCATCCGCTTTTCACGACGGCGCCCAACTGTCTGAATTGTGGCAAGATCATCTGCGCACTTGAAGGACTTCAACCTTGCTCGTTCTGTGATTCGCCCATTCTGACGAAAGATCAAGTAAATGCTATGATCAAGGCACTGAAAGAAGAGCGCGGAATCGAGAAAATGGCTGTCCACAACGCCGGACAATCTGTGTCAGGGAGGGGCACACCGATTTTTGGGGCGTCAACCCCAGAGAGCGGGTCAGGCGATGAAGCCTCGTCTGCCGCAGCACGGGCACGAGCCCATCGAGATAAACTGTTGGCATTTCAGAGAGAAAACGCTCAACGGACTCGCGTCCATGATGAGGCTGCTGATTACGACGCCACGCTTACACCGGGGACTACGCAATGGATGACCCCCGTGCAGCGAGCTGCTGCGCTAAAGAAGCAGCAAAAGTATCTTCGAGAGCTGGAAGAAGCAAACCGGCCAGAGTGGGAGAAGCAAAGAACAGTTATGAGCATGAGTATCAAGAACGGTAGGTTAGTGAAGACGTTTGAGCGGGAGAAAGCACCCGCTCTTAAACAAGAGAAGGGAGACCTTGCTGGTTCCGACAACGAAGACATTGGAGCTGCAGATCAGCATCTTGCTCTTGGTGAGACTGGGCGAAAGGGCCCCTTCAGCAATAATCCTCTGCTTGCAAGTGGAAAGCTGATACGGCCGGTGTGGAAAGCACCGGGAGGTGGCACTGAGGACAAGGGCAAGGGTCGGGAGACAGCAAGGAAAAGCGTCTGGAGGAGGGTACAGGACGACAATGACGACAACGAACAATGGATCCTAGATGGAGGATTACACGGTTATGGCACTGAGACCAGGTTGATGGAGGACCAGCAAGAGGGCGGCTGAAATAGAGCGCCAGCACATCATGTGTCCTTGTAAGAAGAAAGCGAGATACCTCTAAAAACGGCCTAGTGACGCTAAATGATGCTAAGTGGCTAGCCTCTCGCAGGAATGATTTTCCGACGTTGATCCGGAACCCGGAGCACTAACATGCAAGGGACAGAGAAACTTTTGTGCCACTAACGGTCAAGGAGGCAAATCCGAGGCGCGCGCCATTTGCATGCAACCCCCATCCATCGTGATCAACATCTGGTCATTGAAACGAGTTTCCAGCAACATCCCAAGGTCGCTGCCCGCGCTCTCTACACACAACTACCGAATTCTTTTGACCTGTTGCCTCCCTTCACAGTCGCTAGCCTATACAACAGATCGGCAGTGCCTCCAACTGACACGCGAACCCCTCCCTCGTTACTGTCCCCCCGTTTTTTGTCCTACGAGCCACCGTCACCCCATCCCTGGAGGAATGCAGTTCAACCAGACAACCCTACGATAGCCTCGATCCGGAGCAACCTGTTCTACACTCTACCTATATCTGAGCTACTAAGAGAGGGTTTCTGTGAAAAAAAGAGCTGCTGTGATAATCAGCCACTCTGTCTGTTAAACTGGAATAACGTGCCCGCCCTCCTATCCTGAATACCACGCATCGACTATGCTGCAGACTGGCAGGACATTCCGCAGTATAAGCCGTCGCCTCAATGCTGGCCATTGACAGTATTCCTGTGCTGGGGTTCAGGGATACCAATCTCTCTAATATCATGGATCCTGAATTACCCCCAGCCACCAATCCCCGGACCATGCTCCGACCAGAAGACGCCTCACGATTGGGACGGCCTCTTCGCCATGACGATTCCGACAGAGCTCGAGCCGCGAGCGAGCACACCAGGTTGAATGTTGAAAGAGGAGGCACCGCCCTGAATGCGGAGGATTCTTCCCCCCAGGCGGAGGAAAGGACGGTGGCACAAAACAATGTCGGTCGCGAACCAGCCCTCTTGTCTCTCGAAGATACGACGGAATTGTTTCGGCGAAAGGTCGCGGATGCCAGACAAGACACCGAACATGCGTTGGCTGGAAGCGAGGCCGTCAGCGACGTCGTCAAGCCGAAACTCACCTTGGACCTGGGGCACTCCAACATCGCTAGATTGCCCGAAAGTGTGGTAGACCTTATCAAGACCGAGGTTGAACGGTTGTCGTTATCCCACAATCAGATCTGGCATATACCGCTTCGGTTCTCTGAATGCTCACACCTACGGTACCTCAACATTCGGTCGAACGTGTTCCGGGAGATTCCACGAGGGGTGTACAAGCTAGCCCAGCTGGAAATCTTAGATATCAGCAGGAACAAAGTCCGGAAAATCTCAAGCGACATCAAAAATCTGCGATCCTTACGTGTCTTCTCGGTCGTGCACAATCGAGTGGAGGATTTGCCGGTGGAGCTCTGTGAGATGACAAAGTTGCAGATATTGAAGATTGCAGAAAATCCCCTGCGGTTCAAGTTGAAAAAGATTGTGGAGGCCAAAGAATCCGAAGTCTCGTTCTCAGAAATGACGGATCACGAAAGAGAGACTGCCATCACGCTTGAGATCAAGCGATATTTGAGAGAACTACATCCCGTCATCACACCCATTGACGTTGAAGCGTCTCTCCAACCCGAGGACAACCCGACGGAGACGACACCGAAACCTCTCAAGCGATCTTTGAGCAGCAGATTTCCCGTCATCCCCAGCACCACCAGTGCCGAGTCCTCGTCGGACGCCAATAAATCATCACCGAGCCAAACACTCGCCAACCCACCTCCAGTACCGACCCGCTCACACTATCGGATGACGTCCAACACGCAGCCCATTGCTCTTCGACGGCCAGGCATCACCCCTCTGATTAGCCAGAATAACGAGAGAAACCGGAGCAACAGCGAGAGTGTTCTGCAAGCCTCGGCCGCTGCTCGGCAGAAAAGGATGGGCATGCTGCGAAAGGAGAAGCCTGGGTTGGACAGTATCGACGAGCTCAAGGTTAACCGAAACAGCCATCTCCGAGGATTTAGTCACGGCTCCGTCCTGAAACGTAATGGTGCTCTGTCATCCCCTGGCGGGAATAGCTCTTCGAGCCCCAGCAGTCCACGCGATCCAAGACGACACAGGCTTGCCTTTGTGAAACGGTTGTCGAGCCTCCCGGAACATAAAGTTGAGACCGAATGGAACAATCCCGTCATCGAAGGTGCCAAAGGCATATTATATGCGCTGTATCAGATCCACCCACAAATATCTGGTCTTATCGCTGCAATCAGAGGCAAGGACGTGCGGAGGAGCACACTAGAATTTACCTTCTTCAACGCTTCCACTCATGTTGACCGGCTCAACTTGGCACTGGAGGACGCCGACGCTGTCGATCCTGCAGACGCTGATGCGGTTGAGAAAGTCGAGGACAGCGTTCGACGGGACTGTGCAACCTGCATCATGGCCTACACGCACGTAACTGCGCAGCTGCAGGACAACGTCAAGAAAATAGTGGCGGGGTCTGACGCCCGTTATGTGCGGACGCTGATGCTCCTCCTCTACGGAAGTATGATTGAGGTCAGGAATGCAATTCAAAGCTTTGGGGCGGATGTGAGAGTCGCACAGGGCCTGGGCCATAGAAGACAGATGTCCAGTGGAAACTCGCATCCTATCCAGACCATCCCTGAGGAGTTCAGCACTCCTTTGCAGCCTGTCCGAGCAATCACACCCACCCGAGACAGAAATGTTGCTTCCAGGCAAGCTGGGAGATTGCGCAGTGACACGGCCATTCAACATCCAGTTGCCGATAATATTCCAGCATATCAATCGAATCCTGTACCACCTGCAGGTTCGGCTGGCCTCCCGACTCCGATTCACTTGACCGGAACCACTTTGAACGGTGGGACTCTTACTGGCACTTCCTCGACCTTTTCAAATAGTGGCACGCTCACCTCTGCTTCGAGTTCTGGATTCAGATCACGATCAGGGTCACGCACTGGCAATACGATGAATAGCTTCACGTCCTCGTCGGTAGCAAGCACGCCTCATTCGGGCGAAGTCTTTAGCATCCCGCCCTCGAATCCCTTGGCTGCCCGGGTCAATCCTGCCACGGGTCTCACTGATGCTCAGGAGGAAGCCGTCTTCGAGCAGATCTTCCTCGCCCTGACAAAAGCCTATGATGCCGCTCTGCACACCGTTCCGCTTGCGAAGGCACAGTTTCTGCGATGTCTTGAAGTGGCAGAAGAGAATCGAGAGCCGAAGGCGGTCCACGATCTATTATCGAGCCTGGTCTATCGCTGCAAATTATGTTTCGACATCAGCGAAGCCCTGCAAATTCGACTTGTCAATATGCGGCTGCAAGATCCTAGCATACAAATCGTCGCCGCTGGCAGCGGTCGGAACGACCCCTCTCTGTGGCTCCTTTGCAAGAACTTCTTGATGAGTTACATTGATCTTCTGACGGAGATGCGGATAGCCAAGGCTCAGAGATGGCTGTCACAGGAGCTCATTATGATGTTGAAACGTGTTCAACAGGCCAGTCGTGATGCAGGAGCATTGATAGAGACGAGTCCCTGGCGGTACCTGGCCAACAGTGCTGCGGCTGCAATGCCACCACCCAGCGTTTTCGGTGCTAACTCGAACCAGCCGCCCGGCGCGGTGGTCAATGGCAACGGATATCCCAGTACCGTTCACGCAATGATTGCCAACGGCGGTATTGTCTCTCCATATCCGCCTAATACGATCTCCGCCCAGACCGCAAGCTACCCGCTACAAAGCCCATTCCCTCCTCCCCTGGCTCCCCCAGTTCCTGGTCTCTCTTCAGCAAACACACCCCACACGGCAACGAGACAAATGGTCAATGGCAGCATACCTTCGATATCCTCCATGTCAATTCATTCTACACTACCCGGATCTGGCGCCGTCAATGGTATAAGCCCCGTCTCTGTTCCGCTTCCAGCGACACCGCTCTCGGCAGCCCTCGGGCCGGCCGCCCAAGCAACGGTACCGTACAATCCAAACGCCAATCTAAGCTCGAGCACTCTTGCAACACCAACGAGCTCGTCTGCATTACTGACCCCTCTAGCCACCGTGCCGAGCACACCAGCCAGTGCGTATGGAGACTCGTTTTTCCGAGGCGACGTGTTTCAGAGAGCGGACAGCCTCCTAAGTATGCCGCAAATTGGAGGAGTGAACTTTTTAAACAGGCGATAAGAGGTCAACTAAGCAACAAGAAATACGAAGTTGACGATGTCGCATGCCTCAAGCGCTGATGAGATGATGGGAAACGAAGAAAACGTCCGTTTAGGAAAGATGCGTTTGAAATGAAATACGACAAATAGAGAAAAGTTGGGAATCACCTACCTTTTGGACGACTGCCAAGCTCCGTCGACCGCATTAATCATGAGTGGATGGACGCGGGTGTTTTGGGTGGCCTTTTTCGCCTCTTTGTATGCTCGAAGGGGGTGGCTGGGCTATTTCACCCTTGTGAGAGGGAGGGGGAGAGAGCATGGCGTGGTCTGTCTGTACCATCAAATGAATCTGTACATGTACATATATATATATGTATACTCTGTGTGTTACACTGCGGCGTCCACCACCACCACCATCACCACTGCATCCACCAACCTAACTGATTTGTCTCCCCAGCTTAGCTGACGGGTTTGGTTTGGTTTGCTGGGTCCGGTTGGATGTGGATGAGATGAGATGAGATGATTATATGGATTTTATTGGGTGGATGGATGAATGGATGGCTGGTGGATGGATAGGCAACTAGCCAACTAAACTACAAGTCGCACCATAGGTATTACTGTACATACCACCTCGACAAGGGGAAAACAAAACAAAGCCGCTGAAAAAAGATTTCTCTGTTCTGTTCTGATACTCGTTTCTGTCTGTCTGTCTGTCTGTCTGTCTGTCTGTCTGTCTGTCTGTCTGTCTGTCTCTCTCTCTAGGTACCTACTAGGTATATAGGTATTTACCAAAGAGTATATATGTGTATATGTGCGTATTTACAAGTATACCGAGTATATATACGGTGACTAAGGTTAGCTAGGTAATCGATCATCGCGGCCATTATTAATTAGATACCAAGAACCCGCGTCAATACCAATACCAACACTCAATAATACACAGCCGTCCCTTATAACCTCCCGTCTCCCCCTTCAGCTTCTCAGGAAGTCGCTCTGACAGGACAATCATATGGTGTCAAATCAGCCCCGTCCGCGCCGAGTGGGTGGTGGTGGTGGTGGTGGCTTCTTCAAAGAAATGTGAACTCGTTCCAGAATACCCAAGTGCTCGTGCATCGCATATGACAGACATCGACATCTCGTATTCGTTGACGAAGGGAACTGCGGTCAAGAGTACCACCAGATCTATTGCCACCACCGTCTTCCATCCTGCGATGACAGAAATCCATTTCCAAAAGAGCTGTGCTGTAGTCGTACTTCTCTGGCGGCTGCCCCAAACCGTATCTTTCGATGACCCAAGCTGGCTCACGTCTGAGTCAATTTCTCCTTTTCCATCTCCTGCTGTAATGTTTTCATCCGCAACTGATATGTTTGGCCGGTGTTGAAGAATGAAGTCGGCGTCAAGCATAACCGCATCCTGAATAGCTTCCAGATATTTCGGGCCTTCAATATTACCGACAGCATACGGAGAGCGATGATATCCCTTGACGATAGACCCACAGGACTTTCTGTTGTTCCAGGACCAGACGGAGCGAGAATTCTCCTGCTCTCCCGAGCCAATTCACAATGCGTGGAGTGAACAGATCAAGCCCTGCATCACGCTAGGTATCGACAGGTCGGTCCCAGAGGTCCCAGTTTCCGGCATAAATTTGAAATTTGGACAGTATATATGTCGATGAAATGATAGTCGGCATCATGCCATCTCTTGTCTCCACGATACATTCCACAGGTTCATCAAACTCACGGCGCGTTGCAACTATAGGCTGCACACCTGTGTCAGGGCACTCCCAAACCTTTTGAAAAAACGCCATCTATCCCCTCTGCCATTGTTGGCTCAGGTTCTTGGTCGCACAGTAGAAACTCGTTGGCCGTCAATGGGTCATTGCTGCTGACGGACAAGAAGGAATCCATATTTGCTTGTGCGACAGGAGGCGTTGCTGGAATTTGTCGGGAGAGCATTCTCATTAATGACTGGTGTTCTCTCTCGACCTTCTTATATTTTTCATCCAAGTGGTTGTAGTTAGCTTGCAGGGCAAAAAACCTCTTCTCAAGCTGGGCCACGTAACGTTTCTGCCGTTCACGATGGGCCCGCTGAGCCGCACGATTCTGGGCACGACGACGCTGTGAGATTGCAAATCAGCGTGACAAGCCTTGATTCCGTTATCTCTGACGCACCTCCCCGGGAATGTCAATGACGACTTCTGTCATAGGAGAACTCGTATCTGATATGACCTTTGTCCGTGCCCCAGTAGCCGGTGGTGACGTTCCTTCAGCTTCAAGCATTCCACAGAACGAAACAGAACTTGTGTAATCGTCTTTGGAGCTGTGTGATTCAGACTTGACAAAGAGCCATGTTAGTAGGCATCTCCAGACCCAATGGAACTGGGACAGTATACCACGTTGAACAAAAACTTATCCACGACTTCGGTGTCAAACAGGTCGTAATCTTCATCTAATAATGATTGAACACTTCTTGATGCCAGACGCTTGGCGTGACCAGAGTCAGAGCTTTGTGGGTTTGGGGGATGGACCGCCGGGGTATGGTCCCAATCAAAAGGGGGTCCCGTCCACGTGTGGTAAGGGCTGATTTCAAAGAGACCTTGCGAGTTCATGTTGTCAGTGGCTCACAGTTGAGGTTTGCAGATGAAGAGGAGTAGGATCTCCGTCGCTATATCATGTATGCGGCCGATGGTGCAATGGAAGGCTCACGAATGAATATACTTGAGACTCGAATCAGACGGTTCTTCGTAACCGAAGTGGGAAATGGCCAATCCGAGGGTCAATCCCGCTCGCTTGGTTGATAACCCTTTGACACATCGTCCCTCTCGTTCCTTTGGTGGGGCAAACCACCGTATACCCGGGCTGCTGAGGAGTCGATAGAGACGGGGAATGGCAAGTAGTGCTGACAGATGAATTTCGTAAGGATCTTCCCCGGGCAACAGTAGCCTGCAGATGCCATCGAGTCCGAGCGAGCTCCAGGACAATGACGACACTTGGGGTCCATTGTAAGAGTCCATATTGCTCTAGGGAGGTGGTGAATAACCCCATCCGAGTCAGTGGAACGGGGCAGCCAAACGCCATGGTCCCTGGGAAACGGCGGCCGGTGGAGATCCTGAGAGATGCGTTTTGGATCCCATGGCCTTGTTGGGTTCGAGGTAAAGCCCTAACCTCCACGTACCGACGACATAGAACTCCCTGCAGTCCCTTAGTCATATGAGTAGTCATACCTGTGGATCAACCATCACTGGCTCACACGCCTCGCTTGCGGCTTTTGGTGCTGCACACCTACCTGAATGGAATGAGGCTGCAAACCCAATTCGACCAAGGTCCAATCCAGCTCATCCTCGGAACAGACCTTACCTGAAGAAGAAGGTAAACCTTTCCAATTTTCGGGGAGCGAAGGCTTCTAGAACCTTTCTCAATCCTCCAGGTAATGTCGGCTTCACCCCACCGCGTAAGCTTAATATTCCATCTCGTTGGTCTGCCGACATACTCGTAATACTCAGTGATTCGGCATCAGATCCCACGACTTACCTTCCGTCCAATCGCTGCTGTTCCCGCGTTTCCCGTACTTGGACCAGCACTAGGCAAGTCTTGGACAGAAAGATATTCCCTATTGAAGGAGTTTCGAGCGATACAACGAGACCTTCCCACGTCCCTCGGCTCTAGTACCAAAGGAATTGCAGCGAGGCGATGGTCGATTGTTGTGTGCGCAGATTGCGCAGGCTAGATCCGATGCAGGTATAGATTCTGACGAATAGCAAACGTAAGCTTGAAAACTATATGCGGGCCCCGTCTCAAGCCTGTCGAGATATCAGGAGGGTCCATGGTTGCAATAGGAATGGGTTGACAAGTTCTCCTGGTGGCAGAAGGCCCAGGATCAAACATTCATACCAGGACTTCCGCATAAGTTGACGATAAAGGTGCCGTTAGCCGAATGGAACCCTCGATGACCCTCTGCAAGGTCGTCATGAACCGCAGTGAGAGCGACATCGATATAACGAGGTAGGCGTTATGATGTGGTCGAATAGCACAGCTAATGAAACGCGGCTGTTTCGAACCTATGCCTCGATTTGTCGCCAACTCTTTGAATGCCTTGCATTTCTCCTGTAGTGTTTCATGAGTGTAGTGTCGGCAAGCATGGTTACACGAATGCGTCTCTTAGATCGCCACAACTGCATCCGAGCTGGATCGTCAACCCCCTATGGAAACGAGCAGTGAAAGCGTCGAAATGTCATCAGCACGCTCTTGGACAATGTTGGACGCTTGTGACTCCCCGAAACTCCCCGAAATTATGCCAAAGAGGCATTCTAGGATCTGAGAATGCCCTCAAGTAATTGACGTTGAACCGAGTGCTTCAGGCGAGAGGGGACAAGTAAGTGAGGTAGTGGTAGCATAGCCTTACGGGCCACAGCTTTCGACAGAGGTCTCAGTATCTGTTCAGCGCGTGGACAAATCACCTTCAAACTAGGCCGCGTTTTCGGACACCCACCTCAGTCTCGAACGGGTTTGCGATGCCCTTTGCACGAGGCTAGGTCCGTTGCGGGAGCTTTGAGCAGGGGTGGAGACAAAATCCAGAAGTACTTTGTCAAATCGACGTGCTGTATCATGCAAAAGGACATCATCAGTAACATTGATCACTCTGGGGTAGTATTTTAGACCTCCACTCTGGCCTTCACATGGAGACATATCTTATCGTCCCAGAAAGGTGCTCCTCAGTCAACCCGGCATGGCCGACGAAATCGGTCAGCCATGTCAGGCAAGGTGCATCCTCATCGCTGAGAGGGGAAGGTGAGATGACAGTGGCCACAGGACCTGGTTCTGCGGCGACTTCAGCCAGGCCAGATGATACAGATATTGAGCCGGGGTGTGCGAAGCGTATTCTCATTCTGGTATCGTTTGCGCTCAAGGTGGTGATGTGTTTCTCGGTACTTCACTGCAACCGTCACAGGGCTCGTATCGAATCGGTACCTGTGACGTAGCGTTGAAGGGATAACCAAGCCCATGTGGGCCATGATAGACGAATTTTCCGAACGAGGGCATTGGCGGCGGAAGACATCGCCGTAGTGCGCCGTGCTGGTGTTGGTGGTGGGACAAGTGCCAACAATCGTTAGCAAACGTCCTCGTCCTGCGCACTTTCCCAAATTGGCTAGACCAATACAAATCGTGTGAAGCCTCATCACGTGATGACGAGGCTGTAAACATCGATGTCGAGGCCGTGGAAACAACTACAGTGAGGAACAACAAATCGAACGCATCGAAGTAGAACTGAATGACTCCAGACTTGCAGATTGATATACAAGTGCCGATCACCCCGGCTCCTCTTTCTGTACCTTCGTTCCCAGACCAATTTTTGCTTGCATTCGATTATTACCCTGCTTCGACACCCCTACCCATTGCCTGTACCACCATCATTGTTTCCCTGACCCTCCTTCACTCTCTCGGTTTCCCGTGCAGAGATCTAGCATAATGTGATTATTTCATTCTCGGTCCCATCGTGTTCGTGCCTGAAAACTGTATCTTCCCAATTTTATGCAATACAAAAATTCCTGTCCAATCAATTGAACCGGAGAGCCACAAAGAGCCTCGAATCTGCACTCCAATCCCTGTCTTCGAGAATGTGCAGTGCCATGGGGGGCACAGTGTGCAATAAAAGAGAAAAAAAAGGAAAAAGCGGAGCCCTACTCCTCTTTGCAATGCTGTATGTACTAGAAAGGGGCACAAAAGTCGAATGTTGCAACATTTCCATTCAACCGTGTGTCGTCCACCAAACTCATCTCAATGCTTTTTTACCGAGGTCAAGGGCCATCGTATGCCCATTGAGTCATCATGTTTTGCGGACGCCGATCATTAAAGGTATATGCGAAACAGGGTAACAATCAACGATATATGTGAGCTTGTGTGGCCGAGTCGAGTCCTCGTCACGTTCTTCGCCGTAGTGTAACAAATCGTCAGGCCGGGTGAACTTGCACAAATTCTGCTGGAAGATTCTTTCAACGGATGCTCAACATCTGCCGAGGCGCGAAGCTGCTTGTGCTACTGTGGGCTGACGGTTCCGAGTCAATATTGGCACTTCCACTATCCCCGCTGCCTGCGCTAGCACTGGCACTTCCAGTCAGACTTTTCACAGGTGCTTTTGGTGGTGGGAATGGTTTGCTCACCCCGGCCTGTTCAATTTGATGTGGAGGGATCATGCCGCCCTGACCAGGAGGATATCTGGGTACTGGTGCAGGCATGCCTCCTGGTGGAGACGGTCGGCCGTTGCGCTGTCCGGGTTGCATATAAGGGTCGTTAGGAGGCGAGGGCCGATTAGGCCCTCGCCCAGGTGGACTAAATGGATTTCCTGGTGATCGACTTGTCCGTCTACTAGGCGGACCCGGGTACGGACCCCCATTTGCACCAAGGTCCTGGAGCCGGCTTGCCGTCAGGGAATTTGCGCGGGATTCATCCGCCATTTCCTTGCGGTCCACTGAACCGTACCGGTTGGACGAGAAGCTCATCATCGGATTGTCCAAGATATTCTCTCCCAGCATAGGCATATCGGACAGGAGTTGGGTGCTGGTCCGATGCCTGCTGAGCATAGGCCGGCCGAAAGATCCAGGACGCATGTTGTTCCCATTTGCAAAGACATCTTTGCGCAACTGATTCTGACTGGTCGCCCTTTTCGTCCGCCTGGATGTGACACTCATCATATCAAAATTGTCGGGGTCGATTGGAGGCATTGGGGGACCGCGTGCCTGCATTGGGTCGAAATAATCGTCATCATCGTCGTCATCGTCAAAGTCTTGGTGGCGATTGTGCGAGGTTCTTCGGCCCGGGCGATTCCGCATCGCCATCTCTTGTTGTTTGAGGTGCAGCTCCTTCTCCCGCAGCATCAATTCCCGTTCACGCAATGATGCTGCGGCGTTGGGGCCTCCATTATCAGGGAAGTTAGCGGCAACGTCGCCATCGGGTAGATCGTCATAAAGTACAACGTGACTGAACTCATCCAGGTTCGTCTCATCATAAGAGGGCCGTCGCTGCATTTGACTTGGTCCCCGTGGTGGGTAACTGTTTGGCGGTCCACGGAAGCCGTTCACAGGAGGAGGGCCGCGTCGACCCTGCGGTCCCATGGGTGGTCCCATATTAGGACCGCGCATCGGCCGGGGGGCTCCGTTAAGCGGTTGGTTTGGTTGTCGAGGACCAGCATTTGCGAGAGACATCGTTCTAGGAGGCGGTTGCATCACGGAAGGCGATTGTGGCAACGAAGCAGAGGCGACAGGACGGTCCTTATTGACAGTGTTGACGTGGCGTAGCATCGTGTACAAAGTCTCCAGTCGGGGAACTTTGATGCCTGCTTTTTTGGCCAATTCCACAGGAGAACCTAGATAGGTTTCTACCTCCATTGGACGCCGGGCCGTGAAATCTTGGTACATGGTACTGGGATCCTGACTTGACCCGATCATGGATTCGATTGTAGACTCCTTAAAGTTGCTCGGAAATTTGCAGTCCTGGGAATGAGCAACGCTTAACAATTCGTCCATGACATCAGATATCAGTTCGTGGACCCCAGGCAACCGGATCAGGTCCGAAAGGAGAGGCTTCTCGAAAAGTACGCTTGTAGGATGGAATGCAATAGGCCTGGTCATAACAAGTCAGCTAACGTGATTCTTGCGATGCGGATCCAGGGGTTACTGACCCTATCATTCTTTCGAATTGCTGCTGCTTAATGTTTGTGGACACTTTGCAGTCTACTTGAGCAGTGGTCAAGGTCATGGCTAGAGCCTCTGACATATCTCTTTGGATCGACTCGGGAATTGCGGCATTCTTGCTGGCCGGGCCAACCCAGATTTCTGTCGAGCCGGTGTGTTCAAACTCGCTTGACCCAAGTTGGATCAAATTGGCGCCAGAAACCAGAGACAAGACAACATTTGTAGGGAACCGTTCCTCGAGTTGTTGCTCCACTCCCAGGGTGTTTGTGGTGTTAACAAGAATGCAAGTATGTTGAGGGGTTACGACCGATTGGATTATATCTGCGAGATTGTAGACGTCGGGAAGGGCTTTGATGCAGAGAAGGACATAATCGAAGGCTGCCTGCTGGCTCGCTGCCTCTTCTGGGCTTTGGACGACTAATATGGGATTAGCTTTTTCATCTTTGCACGTGAAGTCTGCTCGCACGTACCGTATCTGGGTTTAAATCGTTCATTTCCGTACAGAGAGGATCTGGGAATGTCAGTTGTAGGGAAATGGGGTCGAGACCTGGGTTACTGACTTGAAAGAGACACCGTATTGAGCAACCGCCTGGTAATTGGCTTTCCAGACCAATGTCACGTCGCAGGCGTTGGTGGCCTGCAATCGCCATGACAGGAAAGCAGAAACTGCATTTCCACCCACTACGCAGCAACGTCTCAGCTCTCGATTCATTTCAATTTGAGTGGCGGCAAAAAATTGTGCAGTGGAAGGGAGACAAGAGGTACAAATTCCCAACGGAATGTTCAGTGAGCCCGCGCAAGGATGGTCAGGCAGGTCAGCAAGGGTTTTGCTCACCTGAAAGGATCCGCAGGCGAGGCGGAGAAGGTGCCATTGCGCGTCAGGGCACCGGGTAGGGCAGGTTTGATGTATTAGGTACAGGCAGCCTGAGAAGGCACGTCCCGATAAGGTGCGTAGTGGTGGTTACGACCAGAGATGTCCAATATTATGTTGTTCCGTCTTCCTGCTCACAGATCCTCTTGTATTTTTCTGTGCCTTGAAACGACACACACCAACCGTCGGTTTGCGTATTCCAGTGCGTGCGGTGAAGTTGGGTTGATGAAAAAAAGACAGCGAGTGGAGTGAGGAAAGTGATAGGAAGTTAATACACTGTCGGTGACATTGGATTGAAACGAGAGACTTTTGTGGTAGATCTGTCGGGAGATTGATTCGAGGGTGACGAGGAGGATGTTTCAACACCCAAGCTTCGTTTCTTGGTCGCGGAAGTGAATGAGAATCAAGACGAAAGTCAATGCTGTGCTATAGGAGCGCTGCCATGTGAGTGCAGCACGAGGGTTGTGATGCTCGAGCTAAGGTAACGAACGTCGTCGAGTGAGAAGTGAGAGAGAGTTTGAGAATTAGGAGAGGAAGTTGGTACAACGGAGGTGATGGCGTAGATTTGTCGCGGTGCAGATGTGATTGAAAGGGAGGGTTGAGGTGAGGGTTCGGAGTTGCGCCTGAATTTGGGGGGGATCGAAGAGTCGTGGAGTGCAGCACAGCGGTGGCCAGTGACAGAATAGGGTACGAAGGCTGCGTTTAGGCGCAACAATCGTGATGCGCAATTCGAAACGAGACGAGGGATAGGCCAGGAACCGCTGGGAAAAATAATTCAAACTGCCCCGGCACCGCCAGTACCTAGTTAAGTGGCTCCCCCCCGGTTCTCCCTCCACCACTGGTGCGAGGGCGTTCAGGCACTGCGCTGCTTTACTCGCCCGACAAGATTGTGTCCAGCGCAGCGCACAGCAACCCAACCTCGCGTGTTGGCATACGTGCATACCTTTCAGCGCGAGACCACGACAAGGGATCGGACTCAACTATGCCCGTGCTGGCTAAAACCCTCGCCTGAGCCGAGTTTACAAACCAAGGGTTTTGACGCTCAGCTCATGGTGCTATGGATCCCAATTGTTGTCGCCGCCCGTCGTCGGATTCGACTTCCGCTGAGATCCTCCGTAATTGCTCTCCCTATACCAAGAACACAACTAACTCCGTCTTACAGGACCTGCAATGCAGAAGAGGAATACCTGAGTACAAACAGGGTACGAATACTGTACGTACATTCTCCGGGTGGCCCTCCCCAACAGCGTCCTAGCGCTCTACGAGTACGAGTATATCGAAATCCACCTCTCCTCTCGAGCACGGTGCAGGGGCCAATCAAGGAGGGAATATGGAACTACCTCTCAGGGGGACCTATATCCGGAAACCTCACAAATTTCTCGAACAGAACGAGATTTTACACCAGTCGCAGTCGGTGCTGTCTTGTCGACGCCGTTGTGTACTGATCAATGAGAACGCTGTCCGAATGGTCTGGGTGAAAGCGCCACTTTGTCCCTTGTTGACGATCCTGAGCTGAGTGAGAGGCCCATGCGTGCCATGGTATTGTCTTGCTGCCGAGATAGGGCACGAGCTTTACCTGGAATGAATCTCGACTAGCCAGCTCCCTATCACCGCCACCCGCCTTGTCGCCCCCCCGGGTCTCTGGCCATTGTCTCCACTTCCAGCTTCTTTGGATCCAGAATTCGAAAGCCAGATCCATTTTTACCTTGTTCTGTCCCCTCTGGGTGCCCTCCGGTACTTCGCTAGCTTATGCAACTGAATATCGCCTAACGAAGGACAAACCAGGGATTTGTGAAAAAAAGTCCTATCTTCAAGCTAGGAAGTCTTGACGGTCGATATTGGTCGGATTTTGTTCAAGGCCAACATGTTGAATGCCGTTTGGCGCAATAATGGTGAAGGATGCCCCATCCGCCCGCTTCCCATGGCCTATTGCGCTGCAACTGAAAGTAAACGCCATGCGGGCACTGGCATGTGCTGCAACAATAATGATGAGAGGCCTCACCGACAGCGCGGGGCGTATGCTTGCGGCACAGACTCATCCCTTTGAAGACTGAACCGGATTCGTCTCAGCCATCAGCGTTGCATGTCCACAACCGCGGTCGGGACTCTGCCAATTGTGAGGTTGAGATGCGCCGCACACAATGTCCTGGGTCAAATTGAATACCCCAATGAACATGGGGGGATCTGGTACATCTGGATACACCCCTGGCTGCATATCCGGTCTAGTCTGAGACTTGCATACGTAGCAACCCTAAATTTGACTCCCCAGTTTATTCCGGGCGGCGGGACACATTATTTTCGTTTCATCTCCTAGGAGCCTGGCCATCTGCAATGACGATCACACAAGATCCAAGTCATGACACTGCTTTGTACAAGGACGAGCACACCGCTTTCCGATATCAACGCCCACCGGTCCAACGATAGGAAGGCCTTGGTGAAAAAAGATTCTCTTCAGCCAAGAAAGGCACAGTTACGTACTGCTATGGATGCAGCTAGCGATTCAAGGCGCCACTGAGGGATTGGCGTCATGTTCAGGCCAGTGGCACCAGTGGAGACTGAGGAGAGTCTCCGAAAGAAGACTGGTTCGTACCTGATAATGATGTGTGGCGGTGGAGCTTTGACAACCATGGCACAGTCAACTTCAGGCTCGGAGCTTCCAAAGGTCCGACGCCATGTCAAACTGTGATGATAGCACAGACATATGCAGAGGACTGACACGACCGAGTACTCGGGCATCTTTTATACCTCTTTGTGCCATTTCCCGCGACAGCAGTGCTCTGTAAAAGCCCATAGGGCGACAGATCGCCATCTTCCACCTTTCTTTCTGGACCTCTCACACATTAACCGCGTCCTACCAATTTGGCTGCATTGATATCGGTGACGTGGTGACCGGGGGGGTTGGCCTCTTCTGTCGTCTCAACAATGGGGGCCTCGTGGGAGTGACCAGCACTGGCTTATTGCAGTTGCGGCTGTTGTTCTGTCCAACGTTCCCCTAACACCTAGCAGCGTGTTCGCGTCAAGGGTTATCGGCAAGCGAGATATCTCCTTATCCGGGAAACCCGGGAAGGTTGCCTGTGGCTGGTGGGCTCCAAAAAAAGCGAAAATGGTAATCTAAAACGACAGGGAATCTTCCTTGAACATGCCGTCAGCGACTCGGTGCAGAAAAGCAGGATCTGCTGGTGCGTGTCCTGAAAATCCAACCCCGTGGCGTAGATCCAGAGCCTGGTTGCCTGGGTACATGTGTACTTGGTACAAGTACCAAGCAACTCGTGAGCTACTCTTGTGTCCGTTATCTCCTCTTCGTACTCGGTACTCCTTGCTATTTGATCCTCCACAAGCAAAGCTAACCTAAGCGTGTGCCGTGCCTAACCCTATCTCCTGCAGATCACCTTGAGCCTTTTGCAGCTTAAAAATCTGGGTTGAGAAATTATTATTTCGCCATCCTGACCAAGGTCGAATTCCTCTCACTCGGTACCTCGTCCATAGCTCCCTTATATCTCGCTTGGCGGCTTGAGCGTCACGTTTCTCGGCACCGAGTCTTACACAGTTACTGTCCATACCCGTGGGGACACTCCTAAACGCACACACCTATAAGTCTGAATAGCTTCAGATCAAGACATGCCCTCCCGGCTCACTTCGGCGCCGACCCGACCTACGGACGCATTGCGCACGGTGGGATTAGCATCTCTCGAAGGACTTGCAACCAAACCTGGATAGTATTCCCTTTGGCATCTTCTGTGACAGTGTCAATTGTGCAAGATTCATCACACCCCGCTTTGAGTAGGCTCGGATTAGCTTATGCAGAATCCTGAAGCTTGCTTAATGATTCATCGAAAGGGGGGTCTGGTGGCTATGGGGTACTACGTATATTGGCGCACAAGGGAGCGCTGAGCGGCACTCTCGATCTGACATCTGATGACGATATGCTAACTTCATCTGCGTGTGAGAACGACCAGCTCAACGGACCATTACATTGGTGACCGAAACAAACTGTCGAGGACCACCGGCGTTCTAGTCCTCATTAGAGTGACGACGCTCAAGGTTGCATGCAAAGCTACTAGTCTCTGACGAGTTCCCGCTGCTGCCTACGACAACCTCTTCTTGCTCTCCTATCGTTACAGCAAGGTCTGGGTCAATGCTCGTCCTTCTCCAGGTACTGTTATTCACGTACTGTCCGCTACTTGCAAGAGACTTGTGACGATGTTGGGAGAGGATTAAAATACACCTGGGAGCCGGAACCATAGGCTATGCTGAATAAATATGAGAGACGAGAACACAAGTCAGAGGCCAGCTGAAACAGTGCAGAGACATGATCTTGGGAGTAACTAAGGAGGCCCGGTGTTCCGGAGACGGAGATGCGTGCGAGTAATAGGAGCCGGGCAGTGTTGCATTTCAGGCGTCCCTTCTGGTAGCAGATTGTCGACACCCATATGAGGAGAAGGTTTTGTCATCGATGAGTATGAGTTCTTCAGTTTCTTAAGGTTGCTGGGCACATGCGGCTTACCGCAGCCGCAGCTCGTGGTAGTACCAGCCGCAGTTTGTGCATCTGTTGACTCAGCCTGATCGACGACTTGCCTAAAGGATAAAAGTGACAATAACCGTGAATCTTTTGCTCTCTAATGTTCTAGAAGGAAATCACAGAATGCACCCCCCAAGTCCGGACTCCGGAGCGGAGTGGTTCTATCGGAGACAAGACACTTCCAATCGTGTTTCAACTAGAGTCCCAAGTAATTTGAAGTCTTGTTGCGATCTTCTACCCATCATATCCACCTCTTGCGCCTCAACGTGACCGGCTGTAACGAGTACGTGGAGAGAGCGGTTCGAGGGGTAAGCTGTGTGTCTGTCTAGCCCATCCCAACGTCAGATCTCGTGCAGATATCGAGCATGCTTGGTCAGCGTCGAGCGGCACAAACAACGGAGAGAGGCAAGGCCAGTCGCCCACAGGGGTTAGAGGTGGCCCCGAGGGGAGAATCGTAGCACTGGGCAATGGCTGTGACTAGT